ACAAATATTATTAAAGATAATATACAATGCATATTTATTTATTCTACTATATTATGATATAAATATGTTGTTGACAAAGCATCATTATCAATTAAATTCCGCACGGAATCGTTTTTTCGTTAGCAACGGTTCATCGTTGCTAACAGATATTCATTAAATTACCTCTGACAGTGGCTATGCCCATCCCTACTATCCTAGAACATCTTTTTTTAAATTTATCTAAAATTGTTATAGTTGCCATAGGTTTATTATATTTTAGTCTGTAGGGGTATTTAAAACCCAACATTTCCTGTGAATACATGACATTAAAGCGCATAAATGATCGGGGAGGGAGTTAAACGTTCAAATCCCCAAAAATCCACATACTTGGTACTTAAACCATGTATCTATATACAAAATTGCATACCTCTGACTTTATTTGGGGGGGGGGGGTTTAGGGGAACACAAAGCTAAAAAACACGGTAAAATTCATATTGAAATTTAATCAATATTTTATCACATCAATCCGCGTATATAACGATTTTTAAATCTTGAGCTAATTTGGTCTAGACTCTAGAGGGCATTGCTAACAATTTTCAAAAGTATAGGGAAAAATGTATATATATCTATTATCTATATTATAATAATTAATTGTGACCTCGTGTATATAAATTATGTACGGACATACTTTGTACGATGAATGGGTCACTATTGTAGGTGATAAGTTGGGAAGGTAGGATATGGAGGGAAATTTAATGAATATCTATATGGAACGATAAGTCTTTGCTGACGAAAAATGGAGCGGAGTTCGGTTATACATGTTTTGAACGCCCGTAATATTTACGATTTGAAAAAAAATCAATTTCTACATTTTCTTCTTTTTTCCCGGTTATTCCCATTTATCATAAAAACCCATGTGAAAATCAAAAAAAATGATCTGCGTAAAGTACCACTTCAGTCATATTTTCTTTCAGAAAAAGTGCCACACTTGAAAATCTGGTTGATTTTCCGGTAGAAAAGTTGTTCACAGAAAAAAAAAACAATAAATAAAATAAACATCATTGTAATACCAATACATTCCTCGTTCCGCTCAGAATATAAAATGGACGTAATGTTTTTTAAAATAGTCTCAATTTTCGGGGACAATTCGACAATTCGACAAAATCCAAATACGTCGATCCGTAAATATATTCGATAAATTATCACATGCTCATGTACTCATAAATTTCATTAGATATAAAAATATTGAAATACATTAATTTTATGATTATATGTTGACGTTTCGGTTAATTAATCGACAATAACGTGAGGGAGAAATTCGAGAAGATGAGCTTGCATAGCTTATAGCTTGGACTATAACTTTCTTAAAATATTGTATTACTTTTGTATTATGGGTATATTTAATAACAAATTACTTTTTGCTAATGAAAAATTGTATTGCGTCCGTACGGATGAAAGGCGCCCGCGGGAACGTATCACGTATTTATTGAATATATTATTTTGCTTTTACAAATATATGTTTTAGCTGAAAGTAAGTATTATTTTGTACACTCGCTAGACGAATACCGATCTTCTATCTACGGGCGACATTCAAAAACCTGTTTAAAATAGTAGTCGTCGTTTAAAAATACGAATTTTCATAAAATAGGATTTATTTTTCGTTATTTTTATATTTACATTTACATTTAAGAAGAAAAAAAAAACGAAAGTAGGTAAAGTATAAATAATTATGCTAAATCTTTCCGTATACTGCTGGTGATAGATGATAAAAAAAAATATATTTTATAATTTTATCACGCTCGACTTAAAAAATTATTGACGTATAATACAGTGTTTGTTTTTTTTTTCCAGTAAAATACCTACAAAAGATATTATAATATTATAATAATACTCGTAGAATTTTATTCCAAATTTGCATGTTTTAAGAATAAAATAATAATATAATATGTAAAGACTTTAATGCTAGTGTATAAATGACACAGACGTACGATCCGTATTATTTTTGTTTTCAATAAAATACAATATTATTGCCTATAATAATAATTTTAAGTTGGGAAAAAAATAAAACCTTAAAAATGGTAATCCAAGTATTCGCAGTATTCGCAATACCATTTCCATTTGGGCAAAAATACGAATTTCTAAAATTTGATTAAAAAAACGACAATAAAATAGGATTGAATCAACAGTCGTTGCATATATTATGCTGTAGGTAAATTAAACTTTGTGCACCGCTGCAATTGTATCTCAGCGGATTAAAATCGCGGTCCAAACGATTATTAATATTGGAATCTCAAACCGAATATTTATCGTTTTGGATTTTACAACGATTTTTGTAACTAAGTATAATTTTGTATGTATTGGAGTTAAATGCGGTGGGGTTTTTTTTCTATCAGGCCCAATACATTTGAATACATTACGTAATTTTACAAATTATTTCCCATTAATTTATAATTATATTTACGTTTCATATAGACAAACTGTATAAGCGTGTACACTGCAATAATATTGTTTTTATACACAATACAAAATGACCGGAAATAATATTACGAAAACTCGGTTGTACCTCTTATATACATTTATTTATAATAGGTACAATATTATGGGAAAGAATGTTCGGGGCGTTTATTTCGTAGGTATAAGAATTGTTTTAAAATTATTTCACACACACACACATATACATATATATATATAAACGCAATAATAAAAAAAAATCAAAACGATATAACTGATATCACTTTAGTAATAGGTACTGGACGAGCAAAATAATTTAATTTCAGATCCGCAACCGATAAGTTTGCGATTATATTGATAAAAATATCGATTCCGCCGAATTTCAAGAATGAAACACTATGGGAATAGTTATTGTGGAATTTTTAATGAATTCCCCCAAATAAGTGAGAATTTTCACTATGAATTATAATACGCCTTCACATTAAACACTATCAAGTCAATTAAAATTAAATTATATCCTATTAGTTAAATATATCTATGTGTAAACATTATAACGATTAGTTTATAGAATGGTTTACGGTTTTCACGTTTTGTTATACGAGTATATTCAAGTGAACAAGTTAACATTCGGGAGGACAAAAAAAAATTTTTATTTTCGGCCAGGAAAATACAATCTCGATGGACTTCTCGATGCATTTATGAATGGAATATGTATTTATATGTATATTTTTTTCTACACGAGACGAATAATTTATAATAAGTTGGTACGTATAATATATGCACATAAGCATAATATTATAATATTTAATATTATTATTTTATTATATAAGTACGTGCGAGACTGATGACATTTTACGCGCTACCGCGTATACGGGCCTGACCGGAAGCGAATGTAGGTGTCGTCTTTCCGGAAAATACAATAATAGTAATAATAATAATAATAATAATAATAACAATAATAATAATAAAAAACAACTATTTTTCGTTTTCACCGGTGGCGGTGGATTTCCAAAATCGCGGTCGCCGATTATCCGCGAGATCACGCGTATCGCACAGACACGAACGGCTTGCTGCAATGTCTCTACGGGAGATTGCAGCCGATAATAATCGATTATTGGTTTTCAGAAGATACCAAAAAAAAAGGAAGTACGCGACGAGCGCTGCAGATGACAAAAACGGGAGACGTGTAATTTTAATAGTATATTATAATAATCGTAATTTCTATAAACATTTTAATTTTTTTTTTTTTTGTGAAATTTGCACGAGCGTATTAAATTCTTAAATAATATTCTGTCTCTTTTTATACATTTCATTAAGAATTGTATATTGGGAACGTTCGAATGTTACCACCAGATAACACTCAATATCAAGTGTCGCTTATAGAGGTGATGGAAGGTGTTTCATGTGCTAATATTTGTTGACAGAGGCGAGGGGGTCTAAAAATACCCAATATATACTTACCCAATGCTCAAACAGCCATTGTATTATTACTTGTGTAGCGTATAGGACTCAATGGGAGGCAGAACGATCTAATAAAAGCTAATTAAAAATGATTATCAAGAGAAGTTTTATTTTATAATCTTTATGCATAGTGCATACTTTAATATAGTATATATGAATGGTTAAATGCAGATAGGGCAGAACGTTCAAAGTTTTAAATTTTTCAAGACAATTAAAAATACTCTGAGACAAATTGAAAAATTGATGTTTGAATTAATGTTATAATGTTAGATATCATCTAGAAGTCAATACGGTCATTTTACGATGTATTATTCAGACGCTTTAGGAGATTTTTGTTTTTATGGATAAATTTTACAATTTGAACACGTGCCATTCTGCATTATAGTGTCTCATGCACATAGTTCAGTGCCGTACACATTTTATTAAAATTGATAATGTTTTTCTTCTTCCCTGGTTTCTAGGCCTCTAAGACCGGGATAGTTTGAGATGGTATGCCTTATACATAAAATCCAGTTTCATCCTTATCCATATCCGATTCTGCCCCACCGTGGTTTTTATTAGCTTATGTGTGTTATGTTCATAATATATCCCAAAATATGACGTATCGAGCATTAGGTAAGCAAATTTTTGGTATTTTTAGACCATCCCTTCGTTGTCGATTATTGATGTCAGCACTACCGGAGTGACCCATTCTCACGAATATATTTATATGGTATAAAACATTTGTGTTTGCTGTGAATTTATGAAAAAAAATAATCATTACTGACTTGTGTACGAAACTAAATGCATACGTAAACAAATGTACGTGAAAAATCGCAAATTTCCACGACCGTCGGACATTTTTGGAAAATTTGATAGGACAAAAAAAAAAAAAAAAATGCCAAACGATAATGTTCGTTCTATTGTACGTCTCGACGCGCGCAATATACCGCGCTATATGTTCCCTGTCGCGGAACCGTCGCCGACTTGTATGCCGAATAGCATTTCCCGTCGGTTTCTCGGCTGTCCCCACCCCGAGATCTCCGATCCGGTTCCGAATATCCCGGCACCGAATGTCTGTGCGGCGTGCGTCTTGGCCGTAGCGGAAAACGCGCGCCAGTCCGCCGACGATCGCGCCCGCCGCACGGTAGTACCAATCTTGTAGACCGACCGCCGTCCGCCGACCGTCCGACAACATGTGAACGCGCGACCGGGCCGCCGCCAGTGATTCGATTCGGTTTATTTTTTCACACCCAAAAGTGCATCACCCCAAGTATCTACACCTACGCCGAGGATTCCTACACGCCGTCCGACGTTTTCGACATCATCCGTCTGCACCCGTAAGTAGTATCCGCCACCTCGGTCCATCCAAATTAGTCGTAGCCTCCTCTGCACGGGCTGGGCTTAGTAAAATATAGGTGTATACTTTTTAAATGCGTTTTTCGGAAAAAAAAAAAATACAAATAATACAAATCAAAAACGCTTTTCCGTGTAAACTATACAGTAAAACTCCCGTATTATTATATATCCCGTGATCAGTACTATACGGCTATAGCTACCTAAAATTACTTGGGTAATAAATACCTAGCTGCAATGTAGTTGCAACGGTGACACTTAGCAGATCCTTAAACTTTGATTGTATAGTTGAAATTCACGTACACCGTGGTTGCATATTACTTAGATTAAACGTCGATAATTTTTAGTAGTGTTATTAACTATTTTACGCCCGTATCAGTTTACGATTATTGTTTTTAACACAATACTATAGACCGTCCATTACTGTAGTTACTATATTCCTATACTATTTTGTTAGAAACGGTTTTTGAAATACGTTTAATAACACGTGAATAAGAAATTTGTAATCCTCAGTATTAAACAGTAAGTTCAATAAATCAACCACGAATATTTTTTTAGAGTTAAATAATTGTAGGTAGGTACCCACAATAATTGTACACTAATTATATTGTATGTAGGTACACAGAGTGTTTATTGGATAACTGTTCCTGATTTACAATATTAATTTAAATTTATTTTTAAACTGATTTATAAGAAGTTTATGCACAATATTTATTTACGGGGTGGCCAAGCGGTGGTGCTTGATCAGTGAACTTAACACTTAAGGGATGCTCTATAATATAACAACGGTCACCTAATAATTGTCGACTATGTAATGTAATTTTACGGAAATATGATTAAATAAAGTTAAATTCGTTTTAGGTAACACTTAAACGAGTAAGGGTTAAGTAAGGGAGTAAGGGTAGACATAATGGTGTACACTATAAACGGTATGTATTACAATATAGAAACCACTGAATTACCTTTTTTTAAAAAATAAAAATGAACTCCATTTAATGAATAATTACAATTTCAAATACTATTTAATAACTTTTCATAATATAAATACAAGAAAAATTCGGACGTATTTCGCACCATTGTTAACGGATAGGTTACTATTATATGTTTAGGAAGTATTTAATGTTTTAGGTTATAGGCATGGACGCCCGCAGGAAATTTATCAAGATGAAGCATAGTAAAGTCAAACACCAAAAATTACTTAAAATAAAATTATAATAATTAATTAATAAAATTATATTTGAAATTTTTAATTTTTGAAGTCCAGGCGGGGTTAGATGTCTCGTATTTCTTCACTCCCCTTCCGAAAGCCCAAATATATAAGGTAGTTGTATTTATATATTGAAAGTAACAATCAAAAACGGTTCTGGCCGATTTATTATTGGTACCTAGTATCAGTCGTATTTTTCCCCTTGTTGCCAAAGTAACCCAGAAATCATCAAAAATAAAATCGATATGGCAACATTTGTTGTCAGATTTTGAATATTTTAGAAAAACTGTGGAAATCTATTATTATTATTTGTTTTAATTAAAGTACTACAGGACGAAAAATCTGCACTTTTTTTATGTTCTAATAACTCGAAGGATTTTAACCAACTGAAAAATGTTTTCGAGGAAAATTAAAAAAGGACCTGAGGGGAGAAATATTGAAAATCTCAAAAAATATTTCAAGTTAAGTACCATCTAATGGACAATTTGAATTTTTGAAGGTGGATAAAAAAATCTGATCATTACACTCTTCAAAAAAATGTATTAAAAAAGAAAAAAGAATAAATCGCAGTTTTTATAAAAAGCATTTGGAAATTTAAGAAAATTTATATAAATAAAATACTATCTGATAAAAATCTACTTTTAAAGTATGGCTGATTTCAGTTGATTTATAACGAAGTTTTTAGTAAATAATAAAACGCCAACGTGTACGATTTTCGAAATTCAAATTAACGATGTACATCCGTTATTGTCTACATAGGTATAGTTTTTTTTCATTTAAAAACGTAAACTCGTTTTGTTTATAGTCCCAATAAATTTAGATTTACCAGTCACAAAAGCATGTAATAAATTGTGTGGGTTCTACTGGAACAGTACCGAAACAGAATATACATATAGGAAATCGAAGATGGACTTCATTAAATATAGCTTGAATTCTGCTTGAAATTTAGTGTGTAAAATTAACGGACTTGCGTTGCGTTAGTTGCATTAGTTGGAGTGGGATTTTAGTTAAGCCAAGTCCATAGGTGCAACTAGACCACCAATCTTGAGGGTGCTAAAATTATAAACACATTATAGACCCATAAAGGCAATACCCCCATAATCCACATCCCACTATACTTATAATAAGCAAATACATATTTTATTTACAATTTTTTATATAAAAATGTTTCAAACTTAATCAACTTTATTTTTATACCCTCATGTATTGTCTGTATGCAATTTGTATTTTGTGCTGCTTATTAATTATGAAATACATGGATACAATATTTAGTCTATACTTATAAAACAGCTTATTGGGTATTTTTGGAGGTGCTTAAGATCCTCCAGAAACCTTCTAGCTGCGCCTATGGCTAAGCCTCGTAGTTATTTGTTTTTGTTATACAACTAGCTGTCGTCAGTTTCAATAGTGTTTAGATTCTTGAGTAAAATGAGTAATTTATTGAGATGATAATCCAAAAATCAAAATGAGGTAGTTTGGCGTAGAGACGTTCTTACGTTTCATTAGAATTTGAAATATTGAAAAATCAAGTATTATTTAGTTGATGTTTTACATAACTATTAGTTAAACTTAAAATAATATTATGTAAAAAAAGAGTTCCACTTCGACTGCTGTAGATATTTTATTTTTAAATCTTACAAACAAACCAAAAATCAAGAAAAAAAATTAGTGCAATACGAGTGTCTTAAAAATGCGGGGTCGCTAAAACATTTAATATTTATTTTGAGGGTCACAACAGTAAAAAGTTTGAGAAACACTGCCTTAGATCACTGTTATATGGGGGAGTTTAGAAGGCAGGATATACTGAGTGATTTAGTTTATAATTGTACTCAACGATAAATTATTGTTAACGAAAAATTATTTGGAATAAAGTTCAATTGAACATGATTTGAAATGTGATTTTTAGAATTTTTGTGATAAAATTTTAAATGTAAACCCTTAAAAAAACTAATTATACGAATTATTACATCATATGCTCAGTTTTTTTCTCTCACTACTTTTAACTGATTATGAATCTCGTGTTTAACTTTCGATCATTTTTGATGGAATAATTTGATCTATATTTTATAAAACCAAATAATAACTAAAATTTCTAGCGGGGTTGATTTTAATGAAAAAAAAAAAAAAAAAAAAAAAATGACCTCTAAAATGGCACCAACCAGTAGAAATTCGTAACCCCTGAATCGGATGGTTGGAGTAATTACTGGTAGAAAAGTTGTTAACATCAGACAGAAACAAAACACATCACAGTAAAACCAATATGCTACGCTAAGTATCCAATAAATTGCTCGGAAAATGTTTACAATTATTTATATTTAAATATAAGTTTTGAGCAAAATTAAACTAATATTTTAATTATCGCCGTTAAATTCAAAATAATAACAAGTTGACCTACATGCGCTAGGAAATCGAACGATCTTTTACACGATCATATAATTTATCCAGACATATCGAAATGATTTTACCGTCCGTTTTATTTTTGTTTTCACAATAATTAACTGCAAGAGAATATAAATACCCATGCGACACTCCTTGACGGTGCAATTTATTGTGTATACTCGCGGGCTCGTTTGTAGCCCAGCGGGATAATAATTTGATCGTTACGATCATCATTAGACATTCGATAAAATAATTATCGTTATTATTGTAATTTGTGGCCGTCGCGATGTAAACGATGAAAGTTTATTCCGTTAAAATGAAAAATAAACGGTTTTAAAAATTAGGCATTATTTTTGTTTTGTTTTCGCATTACCTCCATGTATTATTTACGTAGCTATATAGTAGACGTAAATACACCGGATTGAATCTGTGTACCTACACCTTATTGGTACCTACTTTTGCGTATATTTGTGAGCAGGATTATATTTTTAATCTCGTTTTCGATTCCGTCATAAATGTAGAAGAGTTAAACGAAACGGTTTACAGACTGTGTTCCGCGAAGACATACCCGTTGCAATATCTCCTGAGGTTATAAAGATAATCAAATTCTGGTTGTTTGTTTTTCTATATAATAAAATTATAATATATGTATAACTTTCTATTTGCAGGGATAATGACCACAAACGTTTGTGTTTGAATTCAATTTTTATGTTTTAGTAAAAAGACAAAAAAAAAACTTTTTATTTTATTATTTTTGAAAAATTTAAAGATAGCCATTTTATAGAATTTATTTTTTTTTAAATATTTTAACGTTTCAACTTTTCATTTTCATTAAATTCGTGATTTTTAATAATTTTCTTAAAGTTCAGAGAAAAGTACCAATAATCATGCAGCGACTGTAATCGTATTCACTAATTGATTTTTATTATTATTATTATTGTTATGACTAATTGACTGTAGACTTTTTTTCTCTGAAATTATTAATAATCACGTATTTAATAAAAATAAAAAGTTAATACGTCAACATTTTTAAAAGAATAAACTCCATAAAATTACTATACAAAGTTTTCAAAAATAATAAAATAAAAAGTTGTTGTTTTTTTAAGTTTTTTACCAAAAACATAACAAATTAATTGAAATATAAATATTTGTGATTCTCATTTTTTTGAGAGATTTAAAAAGAAATAGAATTTGATTATCTTTATTATCTTCGGAGATACTACAATGAATATATCTTCGTAGAACACCTTGTACATACGTAATACTTTGTAATACAATTAGATGGATCGGTTCGAATTTTTTTTTTTTTTTAATAAAATACTTATTTTATGTATTTTACTATCGAGTTCACATACTAAAGTAATAAGTAATACTCAGGAACTTTCTATAATACAATATTCTTTCTAATTTTCCACCGGTCTTCTTTAACTTCTTACAACCCGTTGCTCTCCATTTTATAGCGACTCTGGGGGTCTATTTTCGAATTTGGTCGAATGCGATTAGGGATCGATAGCAAATTAGATCAACTACAAAAATAGTACTTTTGAACTTAATTTAATGTTTAGTAATCGGATTTTCAATACATTAAATTCAAAAAGGTTATTAGGTTTCTTATTTACCAGTTGTATTATCTTACGAATATATTTTTTTGTGAAATAATTATATTTTATAATTTATTGCACACGGTGGTTTTCAATGCCAGATTAAAATACAATTTTGCGTTTACTGAATATTTTGTACATACCCAATGTATTAAACAAATATAAATATGGTTATTTTTAAGTTATATTTATTGAATTTTAACTGTATCAATCAATTATCGTAGATTTATATTGTTTTTTGTTATTTTTATTACTACCCGCAGTCAGGTATATCTTATATGTCTATTTTAATTTATCTATCGAGTGTATTTATTTTACACGTCTTACATACATTTTAAATATATCATAATATCAAGTGCTGTGCAATGGTACACAATGGTGACAATAGACGACTCGACCAACTATTTAAATGATAAATTTGAATAAAATAACAATATTACACCGGTAGGAGGTGAGGCGTAAGTAAATTTATACTTGACCGCATTATATAGAATTACAATATTTTTAATAAAAAATACAAATATTTCAATGTACTACATTATTAGTATACAATACACAATTTTAGATTTTGAGTCGAGCGAAAAAGCTCATTATGGTTTTACAATGATGTTTGTTTTTTCTGTGGGCAACTTTTCCACCAGCAATTTTGCTCCGATTAACAATGATAGCGATTTTTCTAAAGAGAAATCTAACTTGGGAAGTACTTTAATAGAGGTCGGTTTTTGATTTTCCAAGGATTTTCCCCAGTAAATGGGAAAACCGAGAAAATAGGTACACTATTAAACAAATATTATTAAAGAAAATTTATAATGCATATGTAATTTTAATGTTTTACTATAATATGACATATATAATAAATATTGTTCCGTCGCTCAGAATTGTTTTTTCATTAGCAATGGTTAATCGTTGCTTACAGATATACATTAAATTACCTATAAAGCGGCTGCACCCGACACCATTTTCCTAGGATAGCTTTTTTTTTTATGAATTATATTTACTTTAATTTATTGAAAACGTGCATAATATATTAAACGAACTGTCTTCGTTCCAGAACGTTTTGAGATTGGTAAAATCGACAATAACAATAATTATTACTAATTGTAATTTCTAATTGCTGTGAAGGTGCATTTTCCGAATTCATATGAATAATACCGTCGTTTTAATTTTAACCTGGGCTCACATAATAGATACCTAACAATAATATTACGTGAATGAATAACGAAAAATCAAACGGTTTAAGGTGATTAAGCCACATAATTGTGTAATTAAACTTGAAAGAACGTACAAATTGTTTAAAATTAAAGATGGTAGGTACTCAACGATATCTTAAATGAACATAATTACTAATTACTAATAAAATGTACACTTAAACTCACCAAGTGTGGTTAGTAACAACGGTAAAAAAACTATGTACTTAAATTTTCGTACCTATACGTAAATAATAGTATTAGTATACTTTTATTTATAAACTTTAACATCAAATTTTGACGAAAATCATAAGTATTACGATCTTTCAAAACATGTATTAACCGAACTTCGCTCCGAATCTCTTTTCGTTAGCAATAGCTTATTGTCGATTACAGATATAAATTAAATAACTTTATGTGTCCTACTTTTCTAAATTCCCACTTATAACAGGAGCACACTCGTCCTCAGTATCACCTTTTTTTTTTTATTTCTTTCATATTACCAAATTTACCTATAGATCAAAAAAAATAATTAGATTTTCGTACAGAATATTCAAATAACCCCGTGTTAGTTTCTTTTACAGGCTGAATTCGAGAGGAAAGAAGTAGTTATTCCTGGTCAAAGTTTCAGCTCAATCAGCAATTTTGGTGTGTAGGGGTAAAAAACTTTCGTATTTATATAATATGAATAGGATTATTTACAAACTACAAGGAAAACTTTCAATTAGACGAAAATGTTACTCACTTTTTAATTTTAATTTTTTTATTAACGATTTACTCAGTTGATTTTGTATTGCATTAAAATATAATAAATATAAATTAGAGTTGTATGTATTTAATTAAATTATTTTAAATCTACGAGCATATACGTTTTTGTTCGGTTCTAAAAAATATTTCAATTATCATTTTTTCCTCCGTTTACAAAAATGCATGAAATAATTAATGCTTGAAACATTAATTACAATAGTATCTGCAGTATGTACTCGCATACAACATTAATTTTTAAATTCCATTTGTTCGTGATATTTGTAATAATAAAATGTCAAATATTTTTAATTTCGATTGCGCATTATTAATTTTTAATGTTATTACGGCGTGTACTTAGGTAATCGTATAAATATTATTTTAATAATAATTTTTATTTCAATAACTTTACGAGAATGGTTTACTACATTTGAAATTATTATTTTAAATAACATTTCATATAACTAACTATACCTTTATAAATATGTAATTACTTGTTATGGAGATGAGAAAAAATTTCAGAATAATTCGTTTTTTTTATTGACAAATCATTTTATATCTTTATCTTATTTTTAGTAGTAGTTTTTTTTATGTATCAATACTTTTAAATTTCAAAAATTTGATCACCCATAATTATTAACGGTATTTAATATTACATTCAGTATTTACATTTAAAATGATACTACTGGTCCAAAGCCGCATTCATACTGTTTCGGTTTTTATCCATGTTGGATTTTGATTTTTTTTTTTTAATGAGCAATAATAATTATTTTGTTTGATAATATTATATTTTTAAACAGAAACACGTATTGTTTTCGAAATATATTCCTATTTAAGTTTTGCTATTTGTGTTTAAACTTTAATTTCAATCTAAACGCTGCAATTTATGCTCTACGTAACGTAATAATGTTGCTCCATTATCGGCCTTTATAGCTATAGACTATAGACAGTCAATGTGGATGTGGCGTGCTCTTAAGTAGGTACCTATAATTTATTTTTATTAAATGGATGTTTATAATTACCTATGTAATTCAGTTTTGTTTGTGGTAATGTATTACAGGTGATTAATTATTTATTTTAGTTAATTTGGATAAAAGTTTTATAATTGTTGAGCGATGGCTGTTTTACTGAAACCCATGCAAGTAAAATATCGACTGCAGATTGGCCAACATAATGCATTACGTAAAATAATAAAATTCAATAAGCGAAAAACGTAAAACGCTTAAAATAAGAACCGTTATAGACATCTTTGATTGGAATACGTATTCCTTTCCTGTGTAATCATTTAATAAAAATATCTATTGAAACAATTATTGACATCGAATTTTATAGTTATAATACACTGTTTGAAAACAATTTATTATTTGTTAATGATATTTTTGCGGATCAAATTGACATAATAATATACTATATACCCGCAAGGAATAATAGTTATCACTGCTATCAGCTATTAAAGGTATTAGGCACTTCGATTTTTTTTTTCTTCGATATTCTCAGTGCAGTTTAATGCTTGATAATCGAATAAAAATACTTACTGGCACAGCGTGATGGACAACAATATAACGTCGTGTAGTCGATATACCGGACCGTAACATTCTCGTAAATGAATAATTTACCGATAAAACTAAGCGGCCAATCATGAAAATGTGAAAAAGAAAAACGTCACCCGCGAGATTTGTAGATCATTATTTTTCTACTAACGATTTTACGCCGCCGTTTCTCCGGGGAATAGGTATCCGCATCAGCGATTTATAGGTTAGGTTATTATATAGGGTTAAGACCGCTACCAATAGAATATTATTAGAGAAAGCATCGTAACTACGGTAAAATATGACTAAATCGGATTGCGTTTACCCGCCGCGGAGATCATAATTTTGATCAAATACGCGACTAATCCAAACAGCGTTAAATTATATTGAACATATTTCCATAGAAATTAATTTTCAATCGTTGTTCAAAATTTGTGAAAATAACAATTAGGAAATATTGCTTGACCTAGAAATTCTGCACATTTTTTGGAAAGAAAAATATAAACGAATGTTTTTGGAAGTACATTTCGTAGAAATAATATTTCTGAGGAAAACATAAAATACGGTCTACGGAAAATATTAAGGTGTCTCTACACATAATTTGTTTTCTGCATCTGTTTCACACGTGACGTAATATAACGAAAAATAAATTCTGCACACAAACGATTGTGATTTTCTAGTTCAATCTAAGGCTAACGTTTTATATATTTCGTAAAGTATTTACTATACCTAATCTGAATGATTTTTGTCATATTTTAAATTTTATAATGAAAAAAAAACGTTTTTAAATTTAATTTCTTTTAATTTTAACCATTAATGATTTATTGACAAAATTATTTGACTAAGGTATAGTAAATACGGCTTTTTTTTTTATAAAATAAAATATACAATAGGTCCTTTTGACTTAACCCAACTAAACCCAGAGAGAGCGAAGAGAAAATGAATTAATAAATGTAGTGGAGGATGTAGCTTTTAGAGGGGTGTATATTCTGTGTAGATACTATAGTAAAGTTTCAAGATATAGAATACATAACATTGTTAATATATTTTCATGTCATTATAAATAGTTTTTTTTTTTATCAATTTTTGTTTAAAATATTAGATGAAATTCGTATGGATAGACGTAATATTTTTCTAATTTGTTAAAGAAAAACGCGTGTAACCTTCCACAATACAAAATCGTGGTCCACGCCACTGACGTACTTGCACTGGACGGAGTAGGGTAAAGAGCGCGACGACGACGATTCGATTTATCGTCTCTTAAACAGATATTAATACGGGTATTACCTATTTTAAGGTAAGTAAAAATCCGCGGGTATTTCGAACACGGCGTGCATAAAACGCGTTTCTAAACGTTTATTAATACGCACGATGTCCGTAAAATATATGTAGTACTACTATTCTGGCTAGTTTATTATCATCCTGTATCGTATGAAATGGTGAATTATGTTTGTTTGCCGTTCCGCGACTATGTATCGAATATTATTATTATTGTTGCATTATACTTACCTATATTAGATAAAGGCTTAGTTTCCTTTCGCCACGAACATATATAAATATAACGCGTTCGTCGGTACACTGCACATACCAGTTATACCTCGGTAAATCGTTATAATATTTTTATAGGATGCGTCGATGATGACCTATATATTATAAAGTAGGCACTACACAAAAAAAAAAAAAAAAAAATGAAGTATCCTGTATTAATATTAATACACATTTGTCAAATATTTGATAATAATGGTTATTATAAAAATAAATATTTTAAATAAAGTACAATGCTTTTAGGATAGGTAGTAATAAAAGCGTACAAAAAAATATTCTTTGAAATCTAAAATTAAATTAAGGAAAACGATTTACTCAATGTTCGTATAACTAGACTAAAAATGGACCTCTTTAGGGGTTGAATTTGAAGATAAAAGTAGACGGCGACCTTTTCCTTGATTTGAAGGTCGAGTGTACGAAATTTAATCAAGATGGAAATAAAAATCGTAGATTTATGTAAAAAATCGACGTAGATCGAACTCGATTACTTATATATATCTATATGTATAGAAGAAGATAATGTTAAAAACAAACAATGCATTTAAATAACTCATAATGTCTAAAATTGCGAAAAAAACGAAATCGAATTTATATATGAGTATATTATTCTGAATCTATATGAAGCGAAGAGTTTTTACCTATGATAGCATTATTGTGTGCAATATATAGGAAAGAAGAAAAATGCAAAAATCGTCAATATTATTATACATCTCTATGAGTCATAAAATGCGAGTAGGTAAACCAGCTAAGGGCGAATTTAATAGTCCAGTCCGCGTCGAAGCGAACGGACCGTGTCGTTTCGAAAAAAGTCCGTATCGTATCTATCGTTTTAAGAGCGATGCGGTGAAAGGGTGCAATTTGTGTCTGAGAAAAAAAATATGTAAGTAGGTAAAGTGTTTCGACGTTCGTTTCTAGCGATGACTATATATTATATTATAATACGGAATCGGTCGGTTTATATTTTGTTTTAAATTTCGATTCGGGTTATAAACTAAGCGAAAGTTCGTTTTAACTTAATTTTACTAAAAATAAAAATACCTACCTATAATATACGCATTTAGAATTCGATATTATTATTGTCTCGCGTCCGTCAAACAGAAAGGGGTAATAATAAATAAATATAAAAAAAAAAAATAAAAAAAAAATGGATGTCACTACAATAATGTAATGATAATAATTAATAACGTATCACGCCCACAACAATAATACAATAATAAAATAATTGCAGTGACAATGAAAATAACGTCGAAAAACATCGTGTTGATGTTTAGAACGTGATCCTTTTGTCGACTAATGATAGGTAGCAGACTAGCAACTGTTATATTATCGCAGTAGGTATACACTTAATTTGATATCGTAAATTAATTTTTTTTTTTCCATTTGCAATGTCATTGTTTTTTTTTTCAGTCTACTAGAAACGGCTCTACTTTCTGTACAGATCAAATTGGGTGCGTAACTCGAAATGTACACGAATTATTTCATTTTTTTTTTTTTCCTAACGAGTTTACAATTTTTACTGTAAAATAAAATACTATTTAATAAGAGTAGAAACTATATTAAAATATATGTACGACGCAATCCGTTTACAATATTGTTATATTATCTAGACCACCTATATATAGCCTTAGATATTTATCAAAAGACTTTCAACTGCACTTGACGTATTTTTTAATTTTTCGGTGAGAAAAAAAATCCGCATAATTATTACGTCAAAAAGGACTCTTATCTATTATAAGTAAAATCTGTTATTTCCCAAACGACCAAATTATGAAATAACGAACGGTCGTCGAAAATAATGCTCGTGCTTAAAAACACGAAGAAAATATACTATTCGACATTTCACCATTATTTTTATTATTGTTGATTCTCACGCATAGAGTAGAAATAAATGACTATACTGAATTTCGAGTGGAATTATAATGACAACTGGCGGACTTGAAAAAATTATTTTGAAAAGTTTTTTTAAAAGCTTTCGAATATTTTTGAGTTAACATTCGAGTTTTCTTTCCAATGTAAACCGTGGGGTGAACGGTGGTGCAACCAGGGTTATAACCCCACCCCCAAAATTTGAGATTCGTTTACGAATTTCGCGTAATACGTATAGTTGTATAATTTGTATTGCAATTACAGAAATTGCAATGAAGTTTTAAATACGTGTACGTCGTGCAGTGTGCACATCAGTTATTTAGTAATTTATTAGTCCAAAAACTCGTCCCCTTCCTCCAGAAATGAATATTGTTTGTGTAACCAACTAGTAGATAACTTAAATCATCGGAAATCGATCACAGGCATTATTTTATCATTTCATTATTCTTATATTTTGAATATTTTAAAAGTAGGTATTCAAAATAAGTGTTCAGTTTTAAATAAACATATTTTTGAAAAAGTATTTAGAATACAATATCAAATAGTTTACGTAGAAGACTTCAAAAACCGTAAATATTTAAATAATTAAAAAATATTCGAATATTTGTATTTAAATTCACGTTTATTCTATTACTTTACGAGTAGTCTGAGACTCTAAGTATACAGGGTATTTTATGATTCATGTTCGAGAAGCTCGAGATAAAATGCTACGTTAAATTTTACGACTTGGACGGCAGTGAAATTGTATCATCCACTGCAGTCGTACCGCAATGATTACTTTTTTCGTTTTAAACTTTTATCAAATTATAAAATATATAACGAAGTTACTGTGTTTATAATTTGATATGTCACACGAACCGTCAGTATTAGTACCTAAAACGTACGTACAGTTACGTGATATTGACCGTAACACGCAGAAGTCCGATGACGTATTAAACTTGGAAAAACTCGTGCACATTTTAAAGTTTTGATTAGATAGTTATTTTTTTTTTTTAAACGTATTGTTTCTCGTGTAAACATAGATTAATTTAATAAGTATCTATATCACGAAATTATATATATATATATATTTGTTTGTTTTTAATCAAAAACGAGGTAGATATTTACACTGCTTACACGAAAATATAATCTAAGATGTTTTTTTTATATTTTATGACAGAAAACTAATAAGTAAACAATATTGAATCATACGGTGAATCATGTCGAACATACGAGCGATTCGTTATCGTTTTTCTCCATCTCGCTCTCCGGACCAATAAGCTCTTGAAATATTGCGCGGAGTTCACTGCAGGCTATTAGCTAGAAAATATAACGAGGATTTCGGTAAACGTTAAATCACTATAAGTTGCGAAAAAGAACGCCCGAAAAGTTGAAAGTATGTCACCATAGTGTAGGTATAGGCGTTTATATTATAATTGCATCGGCAGCGAACAAAACCCTAGCTTAAAATATTAAATTTATGGTGTCTCGTTCTTTATTTCAAACTTGCCAAGATGGGTTTTGTTGGTATCAAATTATTAGAGAATTTTCATCGTCTAACAAAGTCAAGAAAGGTCAGAAAAGAACAGAATATTTATGTAGGTAATATTTGTTATATTTTTCCGACGATTTGATTAAAATAAAGGAAATCAAAAAAACTAATCGACAGAAATATACAATATACGTCATAGTTATTAATTATTATTAGTATTTATTCGACCTCTAGAACCGTCTCACAACCAATTTTATCCATCGCCGATACAGTCCGATTTAATGATCAAATTCTGATTCACTCCACCGAATACTCGACATCCGTTTTTACTACGTCTTAGTGCCTCATTCTACGTGACCTTTTAAATGTCCCTACCCTACTCAATTAGTTTATGTTCAAGCATTATCCGTATAGTAGTGGATTTTAAATTCTCTGTAAATTTCATAAATTTGTAATACAAGTAAATATGCTCAAAACTTTAAGAATAAACTATTTCATTATTATTTATTATAAACACACACCTAGCTCTTAAAAAATTACTTATTACTTATTATTGTTGTTCGATTCCTTAATTATATGCAGTAAGAAGAGTGCAAATGATTTTGTAATTTAAATAATGTTAGGTTTGATAAAAGAAATACTGAATGTATTAATATTATGAATGTATACATTTGAACACCGTTTTATTGATCGGGAAAATAATAGTAACATTATTCAAATGCTTGAACGGTGCAACTTTTAAGTCAGATTTATGGTTTATTCTTATAGTTTAAATTTAAAACCATAAATAACTCAGATGATCGAATCTGATGGGCGATTATTTGGTATACAGATTTGATAGATCGGAACAAAAAGAAATCGCGTTGCGTCACGATGAGCCGGACGAGCTTAGTTTTCGGTTTCATTAAATTTCAAAAAAGGCAATCGACTGCTATTAAAATGGTTATTAATTATACGCTATTATTCGTATACTATCGTGGAGTGTGAAATAATACCGAAAAAACGTTTTAAAAGAGATATAAATACAAAATTGTATTAGGTATAAACAATAAACGCTTATATTTTATACAAACCTAATGAAATACCGAACGTTTTTCTGTCCGAAATAAATTCAAGTACCGACTGCAAAATAAGTTATAAGGACGTCATACCATTATTTATACACTGTTCAGTGTTACCGAAGACTTTTTCGTTTTATAAAATGTTTAGAAAACTAGCGACGTAAATAATTTCCTCTTTCAATTTTGTTATTCGTGTTTAAACTCTAATTTCAATCTAAACGCTCGATACGTATGATCTGCGTAAAGAAATTCCGCCATTTAGACTGAGACAGTATACGCGGGTGTGGCGTCTTCTCAAATAAAATAGCCGGTAGCGTCACTATAACATTATAGCTTTCGGATCATCTCGTATAATTTTGTATTGTTGTTATGTTTTACTTTCACTTAAATTAGACACATAAAAATCGAATAAAAGTCTAAAAAAATGTTACACCGTCTATACCTATGTCTGTGTATGCTATCGACTATTGTTGTCGTTGTTGTAATTTTATACACTTTAATCCGCTATATGAACGATTTATGACAAAATATATTCGCAGCCACGCCAACAATAGGTAACATCGATCGGTCACATGGAAATGTCGATATCGAAATCGCGTGATTACAAATTACAATAAGGCACGGCGGCGTATTCATAATATTATTGTCATATTATCGCAGATATTCGATTCTATTCCTTAACATGTGCAATATTCCATTAGAAAACATAAATTAAATAAAAAAAATGCGTAGCAAGGGCGATCGGCATTGTCATCACGTGCGTCGCCTTCGTTACGTACGGTTTCTAGTTACGTGCACGGCGCATTTGAAAATATACATTATAATTTGGATGGAGTTTAAAAATGCACACCTACAGTGTTATTAGCTATAGAAGAAATCGCATCTCATCGTATCGAAATCAATCTAAATTCGCATTCATTATATAATAATATTTCACAGAAGCTCAATAAGGTTTCTGTGACCAATAATAATTTCGAGACGTTTTCAATACAGTTATTCGATACACTGCGCCCGCATAATATATTATTTTAACGATCGTAAATGTATAAAACCGTATATCCGTGAAAATAATGACACCTACACGTGCCAATATGTTTCAGTTTTTATTTTGAAGTTTAAACGCAATAAAGCGTATAGATACGCATTAATATCGGAATCGTTTTCGAACAGCGATTCGTATGGGTATTATTCTATATTTGTCTCGTTATAAATAAATTGGATTATGATCGTAAAACATTTGTTTGATTTCAGTTTAGATTCCTAGTGTAGCGACGATGCTTTTATTTGTTCACATTTTAGAAAACACTTTTTTGGTCCATAAAAATGATTCAAATTGTTCACACCGTAACTCAAGATGTGGTTTTATTTTTGTCGATTTCTTGACTTCACAAGGGAAAAATAAAACGGTTATAATACTTAAGCTTCATGTATACCAGTTAACCGAGCTCGGCTCGGTTTTTGACTGAAATAATTTATCATCGTTACTTTCAGTAAATAAACCAAAACACTCTGTATTATATATACCTTCCCAACTTCCCACCTACGCAACAGTGGCCTGTGGCCTCCTCACGATGCGAAGTTTGTATATGTAATTATATTTGGGTAAGTTCATATAATTTGTGCAAAATATTAATTATTTTTTTGTTTTGTTTTAATACAAGGAAAATATTTTTTTTCCATTTTTACAGCGTTTCGGTGTAGTTTTGAAATATGCTCAGTTGCTTTGAGATCCGTTTTTGGATGATTTTTTAAATGATTTTTTTAAAGAGATATTATTACTTACTTAAAATCAACAGCTTTATTGTTATTAATTCATTTCATTTAAATTCGAAATATCTGCAGTTCGGTAGATGGACTTGTTGGATTTTTGTGTTGTTTTTTTCTGGGTATTTACTTTAGCGTTCTTGTAATAATATCGAATACGAGATTTGACGTGTTGTTATATATTTTTATTTGTTGAATTTTCAGCATCGTCATTTTTATTATGAGATTCGTGAGTTATGCGGATACAATACGTCCGACGTCTTATACTATTGTATAACAGTTTTTTTTATTTCACCAGTTGAATATTTTCGGCGGATATGTCTTTTTTATATATTTCATATAAAATCAACAATTTTCTATGTGGGCAATGTATATGTGTGATCTAAACACTCGCTAGTGTGAATTTCTTTTGTTCAATTGCTATTTACGTAAGTATGTAATATTTTGTTTTAGATTTTCATATTTTAGTAACATATTATTGTTGTAAAGAAACCTACACAATTCGCGGGAATAGGTTTTTTTTTTCTTCAAAATTTACTTTTATCGCCACTAATACAATATGGTTTTTGCAACGCACTTCACAAGAAATAATCGATAGTATAATTTATAGTTATATAAATAATTTAGGCATTAGTTAAAATATACGTTATCTTGTTTTGTTTTGTTTTTTTTTTTTCATAATGATAACATGTGGGAAAAATGTGAAAACGTCATCATGTTGAGAATTTGTTTTATTCGTGTACAACCATTTTGTAAATTTTAGTTTTTTCAATAGTTGTTTATAATGCACATAGGTAATAATATTGTTGTCACAATATTATTATATTTTAAAATATCCAGATATCTCGTAAAAAAAAAGGAACAATGAAAATAATTTTGCTCTACCAATATAAGTATCAATTTTTTTTAGAAGAAAAAACACAATATTTTTGTTGACATTTTTGTACTTTAGTCAAAGATTTCAGAAAAAAAAAAACACAAAGAACAATTATTATTGTTACCTATTTACTTTGTGATAATTAAACAGGAAAAAAAAGAAGGGAAAATGTTCCAATTAAGTTGCTCTGTGTTGTCATTTGGTCCGTGTAACAATATTTTGTTTCCAAGGTAGTTATTGCAGGTTTGTATAGTAAGATAAAGAAAAATGTCAGTATAACGAGATTATTATTTTTTTTTTTTTAGAGCTATTTTGGAATTGCCTTTATAAATTCAACCAAATATCGATACAGGTACCTAAATCCCATATTTTTAAATTTCAATTAAAATTACACGTTAATTAATAATCAACAGACAATTATGATAATTATACTTATATAATTTATAATCAAATTTTGAAATTTAAATGTTTTAGGTATCTATAAATTATATATATTCGATATCAATGGTGTGCATATCAAAACGTTTAGAAAATGATTCTCTATTCAGATCTGTGTTTGAAACGGATGGTTCCAAGAAGGTTGCTTTTTGATAGGGCTGCTACAATATGCGAGATTTCCTAAATATATTTATTTTTACGAGACCTTTTTTTTTTCTCAGCTTAATCAGTACCACTCCTCTCACCTAATACTTACAATAACACCCTACACTTGGCCAATGTCGGAAATACTGTTTGATATGACAACTCACGTGTACATTTCTAAAAACATAACTTTTCCAGTTTTACGTCCATTATAATTATGCTATCTTTTTTTACGGGTACACAAGCTCAAGGCCTCTGAAAGCGCGAGGCCCTAGACGTAAGCCCCACTCACCATACCTTAAGGCCGGTCCTGCTTTTTGAATACCCAAAGTTTTTAAGTTATAAGGAGTAGGTGTAAACATTGAAAAACAGGATTGAAATATAACTTAAACGATTCTATGTAATGATTGAAAAAGAAAACAGAATTTCAATTCACTTAAAATCCTCCGAGAAAATCGATGGATGTCTCTTATTGCCCGTTTTTCATTCTCGTAAAACGAATTCTGTCTCGGTTCTAACATATGTCGTATTATAATATAATATTATATTATAACATGACGACAATAATGCTATTATAACCACATACACGTAGCTCAACCGTGAAATTACGTTTCGTATTACGAGAGGCGTCTTGGTGTGATAAATCCTTTGGTATTAGCATAGAGTACGGTGCACTCTAATTTATTATCCCATAAATTATCGCGAATATAGCATACGGGTAAATAATAAATTAAAATTAGATCGTTTAACAAATATTCGAATCCGCGGACAATATATTATGCAAAACAAAAATATGTAAATCACAACGTTGTCGTACGCCCAATTTTTCTATGGACTTAAATATGTGTACTTCTAGGCAATTTTAACGGAATGTACTCGCCGAACTTTCAAAGTGAATTTGCATTTTTTACTTTCGTAGTGAAAATTAAAGATATTAACGCATTAACTAGGGTTTGGTACATATATCGATTTTCAGTTTACTCGTACGAGACAGTATAATATAGTTAGCATGATTAAATACATTTTTTAAAAATGTTAAAAATGGAGCTTTTATTAAGCTTTTGTAGTGAAAAAATCGTGTTTCGTAAATCTGTTAGCGTTTTACAAATAACATAATTACACGTATAATACGTATGTTATACAGAATATACATCTATCTAAATAAATTGCAAACTTACGTACTTACGTTATTTTATTATTTCTGGTACGTTCAATATTATTTTTCGGACAAAAGCGCGTTTCAAAAGTATAGTTAGAGCAGCTATCAATTAGAATTTAAAGGGGAAAAAGTCTAGAAAAAGAACGAAAAATCGTCGGATGACCGAAATACGGATATAAATGAAAGAAGTAAGATCTATAGAGCGATTGGAAGTGACATACGGGAGGAAAATATTCAGGTCCTGGAACTAATAATTTCCCATTTAGATCAATTGGAAGTCCAATATCGGGGGACAGTGATAGCTGTTTTATAGAGTTTTTAGGCCATATGATAACGAATTAAAGTTCGTGTTTTTTTTTTTTTATGTTTTAGTTTTTTATTTTTAACTATAAATGACTATATTATACTAACTTATTATAATTTTCAACTTCGCACCTATAACTGTAGTCCTGTAGTGACCATATAAAAAAATATATATGCCAATTTTTTTAAAATATTTTTTTCATAAGTCTAAAATACGAATTGTGTACTAAGAATATTATCGTCTGATTTACTGTACCTGTCCTACGAATTGCAGATTTTTAATTTATCCGCGGTAAATAGGTAGGCACAACTTAATTTTCAAATAAAAGATTTGACTCTCATAAATAAAAAGCTTTGAAAATTGTCTTTTTTTTTTTATAATAAATTGAAAAAGAAACTTAACTTTTTATTAAAATGTATGCAATTTAAACTAAACGAATATGTTAATAAAATTCTTACACAGCTAGATATTATAAAGCATTAAAGCTGTGATATTAAATTTTCGTCGTAGTTTGTTTCGCTCTAGACTCATTCCGCAAAATATTATTATTAAAACGATTTTCCGACACAAGGTTTTAATGCGTTCAAAAACTGGCATTCTCTGAAATTGCTGCAATAATATTACTATACGCGTTTATAACTAAAGCGAAATAATATTGTAATAATATTATGCCCAGTAATCATAATAATTATAATTCGAAATCCGCGGTTAACGATTGTATAGAACGATTATCATCGTTATTATGTAAACAGAAACCCGATAACAATGCGAAATTTTAATGGTTTTAATGTAATGTATAAGTTGTAACGGGTAAGTATGCGGTAATAATAATAATAACTGACAAATATTATAATAATTACTGAAAGTATAAAAACAAAAAATACGTAAAAAAAACAAAAAAAAAAAAAAAACAAAAATATAACGGTCTCACGTTTGATGAGAACTAAAAATTTTACTACATAGGTATAATATTATGTTTTATCGGGTTTTTACTTTCTCCTTCCGCTTTTTAGTAGTCCTAACTGTCTTCCTCGATCTATCTATTACAGTTTTACACCAGACATGGTGTACTTACCTCATACCTGTACCTACCGGAATATTAAAATGTGCATTACAGACATTATAGACACCATTGCGAACCGTCTGTAGATTGTTTCAAAACGAATAATAATAATTTGTAAATTTATGAAACAAAAAAAACTAAATATTATTCTCACTTTCTCTGCACACAGGACATTGCGTGCCCTTTTTTTTTTCACCCGTACCATATTATTATCTTGTATGGTTCTTGTGGACGCACTCGATTGATAACACATATTATTTTAATATTACGACGGAAATAATAATATTTACGATTCATTTATATGGCAATACCAATATACACGGTTAGCTCAGATGCTGCCATACTGAACAATAATAGTGTGATGAAAGAAAAAAAACAAACAAACAAGAATTACAAGCTAACGTTTGGTTTTTTTTTTTTTTTCAGATCGGGTGGAATCCGATAATGGGCCCGAACCACGGTGTTCCTTTATTAGCCATAATAGTCGTCGTCATAGCCATCACATCACCTATTGCCACAATTAACGGTAAGTAAAATAAGTATAATGTTATATTTATGTAATTATTTAATCTTAATCTCTATCACGAATAAAAAAAAAAAATAACAAATATCGTGACTCTGGATTTTCGATGTTTGTATAAGAATGTATAAACGTAGATTTGAGTGAAAAATTTGAAATCACGTAAAACCAAAAAAAAAAAACCCCCTTTTAAATGACAAACGGCTTTTAAATAACTCAATAAACGTCAGAAAATTACACCGCGTTTAGAAAATGCTAATACAAGCATTCGGCTCTACAATCATTTTTCACAATATTTTATAATTTTTGTACAATAGGGAAATATTTTAAAAAATTACTATAATAATTATACCGGGCGAATCAGTATGAATTGATAAAATATTACTTTCATTTCCAATATATTTAAGTTCAAAATAGCTATTTTTTCAACTAGGTTTTTAGAAAATGTTTTATGCTTAAAAATTGTATGTACTCGTATATGTAAGATATTAATATGTTTGTTTTCAACGATTTTTTGTTTTTTGTTCTGTTGAAATTATTGTATGCACGTGAGGATATTGATTTTGATTGCATTAATGACTGCAGTCTGATATCATTTTTTTCTACATTCCATGATTATACAATACATTTGAAATGGTTCACATTAGCTATTATTGGTTTGAGAATTGTAATATCATAAGTGTTTTTTCCGTCTGTTTTTGACTATAGAAGAAATAGGTACATTTGAAACAGTAGATATTCTGATAATAATATTGTTTCACCAAGTGTTGAAAAAAAATGGTTAAATCGTTCAATAATAATATGAAGTTACCATCGGATTATTTTTACATTTTATCGAAATTCTAACACTGTAGTTTTGTGATGAGGCATTAGCACTGCACATTTTAGTGTGGAGAATTATTTCCTGAAGACATCAAGTAGTAGTTTAATTTAGTTCCGATGTTACACCGATGAATTTAATAATTTAAGTATAGTCGTTCACTCGTTGCATTAATCTATTTTATGTTTAATTTTTGTACAGAGGTTTACAGAGGATGATGAGTTTGAGAGGAAAAGTAATATAATAATAATAATAATAATAATGAAATCGCGGACGAATATAATTATCCAAATTTTAAACTGAACGTAGCAAAACAGAAAAAAAAAATTATTATTCCAAAACTTTTAATTTTATCATAATAAATAATCGTAACAACTTTATTTGATTTTAGTTTATACCGAGCGAAGAAGTGTGTATAATTTATTATAGTTTACAATGATAATGTGTTCGGTACGTTATCTTTATTTATTTTTTTTTTATCCCTAAGCAATAAATAATATTATGCAAAACGAGATTTACTCGGCTGCTTTATATAAAAAATAAAATCCTTAATAATAAACACATAAAAGGTTCGCAGGTTTTTTTTAGGAATTTCTTCCAAATATTATATTGTAGGATATCGTTTACATTTCAATTTCGAGCAGCTCAACAAACGAGCAGATTCATTTTTAAAGTGAATTTCGTTTGTATTATAAAAAGTTCAGTGCCGAGACGATTTGAAATAGAATACCCCTGCTGCAGTCTTCTTTTCGCTTTTGTCTGTTAAAACGTTAGTGAACGGTTTTCCGTGTATTTACCCAAAACACTCTGAATTAAATTTCGTTCACGTTTTCCTCTTTATATAATATAACCCACCGTAATTTGTTTTACCATTTGTTTTTGTTGGTCGTTTATTGACGTAATACGTTTCCATTAATTAATCTATTAAAAAATATTACATTTTAAAGTTAACCGTATTATTTTACAATCTGATTATAGCGAAGAAGCTAGTTTTAATAAGATGTGTTTTCTTTCTCACTAAGAAACAATTTGTTGATAATAATGATCCGATTTTTTCATGTTGTACTTCAAAAATGCAGACTTTCCGCTCGATAAAAATTTTATATCATGAATGATTTTTCGAAATCTATAAAACTTTTTTTCAAAGGAAAAAAAAACACGCCTTATACTATAACCTTACACCAGTCTACCGAGCTCCGCTTATTACAGTTTTTTGATTGCATTCGTTGATTTCATTGGGTATATATTATGAACTAAATTATCCTATCTAACTGTGTATCCGCAGAGGCCAGAGATTAGTAATGATTACAAACGGGTCAAATAATGTCATTAATTATTTCGCATTATATATTATTATAATAAACGTGCATGTAGGTACCTCCTACCCACCTACTCTATAAAATAACGACGTCTCGTTTTTAATATAATAATATCGACGACACGTTGACTTCGGATCCCTATTTATGGCCGGTACACGTTTTTTGAGTTTTAAAGATTTATTACCTTCGCTGGAGTGTTTATTTAGCGTTATTTTTCCTCACGTATTTCGTTCACTATCGTGCATAGATAATGTTCCCTTGAACACGCTGCAGAAATCATTATTGTATAGGCGTATAGTTTATTCAAATATTTTGAAATACAAATACACGCGAGATAAATATATAATAAGTATGTACCTATTGAAAAACGCGTTGTTTACACGTGTCGAAACAGTTCTTTTTGTCGTTGTATTTAAATTATTATTATACATATCGAGTTAGCTATGCAATTCAATAATTTGAAATGCGGCAAAGTTACATTTGTATAGTGTCTTATACGCATACAGGCAACATTATATCATTATAATATTATATATCGGCCCGTACGGTATATTGTACACGCAGGGTCACTGTATAATTTTGTGTTACAAAATTTAAGGAATTTCATAAAAATAAATATCTAGATTAATCCTTGTTGTGTATTGTATCCACAATATTTTAATTTATAATCGTGTACCTACCGGCAGTACGACACACGGAGGTATAATTTACCATAACTATACCTACATGTAATACGGGCGGACACAGTGTTTTGAAAACGTAGATATGTTTAAAAGGGAACGATATTTCCGAAACATTCGCGATTAATGTTTAATGTAATATTTTACTTTTAATAAACGTACGTTTTTTTCGATTGAACGGGTTTGTACAGCAATAACCCGGACGGTTTTAATACACTTTATTGGCGAAATATTCACGTTTCGATTATTCCCTGATAGAGATTAATATTACACTCGTAATTTTTGTTCAACAACGACGAATCAGATGTCCGTGCAGAAGTTGTTTCGCGCCGGGCAACTATTGAAAAACTAATAGATAATTAATAAAGTTAAAATAATAGAAAGTAAAATATGTACATAAAACACACTGTATTTTTAAATAAATTATAAATCGTAGTATTTTCTGGTATCGTTATGGTTCGTTGTTTGTGTATCATAGAAGTGTCAATAAGTGAAACGAGTGTCATAGAAAAGTTATGAAGGACAATAGTATTATAGAAGTTATAATACGTGTTTAGAGCTGTAAGGGTTTTTTTTTTTTTACGAGACAATTCCAAAGTTTTCTTATTGTTTTTTCTACGAAATCTTTGGCAAAATTACTTCATACATTTTTAATTTAAATTTCAATAAATATGGTTTTTAATATAATATATATTATGCAAATAATTATTGCCACTGTATAAATGCAATAAATGCATATTTAATTATTATATAGGTACTTCAATAACAATATTATACCTTTAACTTTTAAGAGTTTAAAAATTTTGTGTATACTTTCTGAACAATTTTGAATAAAAAAGTTCTTAAATAATTATCAATTAATGAGCTCAATGTCACGATTGGTGTACTATTATTAAAGTTTTTGGCCGTAATACCGTCAAAATTCATTTTATTTTTTCCAATTATCACGAAACTGGGACTGGAACTGGAAAAACAAATGGTTTTCCGTCGAATAGTATTACTCACATAAATAATTTAAATATAAAATTTCGGTATTCCATAATAATACATTGGTAACCTAACCTAACCCTATATTGTTTTTGTTACATGGTTTAATCATTACTTTTAATGATTTCATGTAATATAATTGAAACATTGAAAAAGTAAAGGGCCGCCCATCTACGTGTTTTTGAAAAGAACGTATTTTTTTTAAACAAACAAATAAAAAAAAATCCAGAGTACTATTTTAATATGAAAAAAACCTCATCAGTTGTATGGAAACGAAATGAAAAATAAATAATATTTTTTGTTGAGATGAAATTTTTCTTCTCTTATTTTTAATTTCTACAGTCAAATAAAAAAACACGACATTTGGGTCCTTATTTTTTAATCAGTTTTCAATACAAGTTCAATTTAGGGGGCCAATCTCCTTTTAAAATACTTCTTTAGCCCCCGAAATGATGGCAAGATGTTTCTTACAAAACTCACTTTTTGTGAGTTATGTAGTACACGCAAATTAGAACAGCAAAGGTTTTCAATGGGCCAGGTTTTACATATCGGGGGATGGGCATGTTTGGGTTTAAAAATATCGGCCCATGCAGAGCTCTAGTGGACTAGAACTTCACATGTTATTTATAACATAACTACGTGTTTTACAAAAAATAAGGTTAGAAATTCAAGAACCGTGCTACGTTTTAGTGTGCTAGTTCTGAGCGGCGGAGAAATAATCGTAATACAAGAATAAAATGTAACATACAAATCAGAAAAAAATGTGTTTGAAGGTAAGCTGGACGGAGGTTTGGGGGGGGGGGGAGTGATAAAATCTTAATTTTCGCCTATAGCGTTTCATATATTTAAATGGACCGCGTTCGACAATATCGAGTATAGGTAATTGATTGATGAGCAGGTACACCGAAACCTCGGGTCGTTTTAATTTCACGATTCGGTATATTTACGAATCAATTATAGGCGAGTGCGTATAGTGAATAATATACTATGGTTATTTCTGCGGACGTTCCGGTTTCAATGTATGTGTGGTAACAGTTCGCACGCTGTGGCTGTATTTAAAAAGCAAAAAATAAATTCAGTAATTTAAAACGCGTTGGTTCCTATTTTTTTTTTTTATTATTTATTTATTTTATTTTATTATTTTTTTTTTTTGCTAAATTAAACGTTGAAAATCATCTGTGCGCGGCGGCAATGAGGTTTAATTGTCCGGCGACGACGTTTAGTTGTGCGGCGCGCATCCGTCTCCGACCCAGATCGTAATACGCATAATAATAATATTATTATTACACCCGGCGTCGTATAATTTCTAGGTTAGCGCGCAGTCCGTGCCGTCGTCATCAGGCCGTAACCGGGTGACCAATACCATACCATACCATCATCGTCCGCGTGCATCCACTTACCTTTTGCATACACGGTGTTGCGGATAAAACACAATTATATTATTATGCGGCGTACACAATATATCACACACGGTGTTAATCGATTCACCGTGTCTAATAATGTGTAGACGGATCTGTGTGCGCGGGAATTCGGTCAGACCGTAATGAAATCATGTCTCGCAATGGACCGCAATGACGCCGCGTGCGTCCAGCACAATAATACTACCGTACGGGAAAAGGAAATTCAAAAGACAAAGACGTTTATGGATAGGCAGGCAGGCGTTATAGATTTTCGATTATCCGTGTAATATATTACAGGTATTATATCGGCGGAAAAATTGTCCCGAACCGTCGACGATTCCGCATTCCGTTAGTTTTCGGTGCCGAATCGCGTGCGTATTGATCGCGTTAAATACCGCGCACGTGGACAAAACGGCGATAAATCACCGCCTATTTGGATTGCCTGTTATCGTTTTGCTGTGCCCCGTGGCTATTACAATAATATAATATACGTACGTTTTATATACGAGCTCTGGAACTTTTGCTCTCCCACAATAATAATAGCTCTATTGAAAACGAACCGATGTCGTTTTAATCGCGCGGCACAGCATACACGTGTAGCACGTTTCTGTTTTACATCGACCAAGAGTCTTAGATATTTTTGTTCTTGGTTTTTAACTTAGTTTCAACATGCGATACGCGATTCTTCTTTTTTTTTTTTAATTTTGATTAAAAATATTGTTTCGATTATTAACATCGTTTAGGGGGCCGCGGACCGCGGTTCAAATGTCTACAGCTTACAGTTGTCCCGTACGCGGCTTTTTCCGTGCACAGTATAATTGGACGGCGAAAAAAATTCAACCGTAGATACCTTCCCATCGCTATCGCATTTATCCGTGGCTATTTTATAATAATTTTACCAAAAACCTTTCGTGGTTCCGAGGTGCAAACGCACCCGTTCGTCCGCTTTTGTATGCGATTTTTCAGATCTTTGCGGCGTGCGATAGATTCGGCCGTGGAAAGCGACACAGACAGACAGACAAACAAACAGACGCTTTTTATTGATACAGATAAAATGTTTAACCGAACTAATAATACGTTCAGAATAGGTTTTTTTTTTTTTTTATGGAATAGTTTTATTTCACATTCTATCGCGTAATACAATTATTATTACCTATTATTAGCCGTGTACATAATGATACCATTAACGAAAATCGTGCGGCCGCCGCCGGGCTCCTCGATCGTAATAATTATTTTCATTGTATACATATCATATCTGGCACGTCGACCAATCGTATTAATAATAATATATGTTATATTATAGTGAACCATCAGCTCTTAATGAAAACCTTTATAAATAATACTCCGTGCTCACATATTATACGCATTCTGTGTTTTTCTTTTGCTTTCCATGACAATTTACGTAGGCAAAAACTACTTTCAATTTCAGTTAACACTCTGCCGCTGTTCCCTATATATTTGTTCCGTACAATGGTCCGTTCATATATTTCGTCAAATATAATTACATTTTTTTTTTTTTTTTTTTTTTTTTTTTTATTCTCTCTCTGGAATATTAAAGACGTTTTTTTCCCCTACAGAAATACAATGTGTTACGGAATATAATATAATAAAAAGTCTATCTATCTTATAATAATATATTACCGGTGGGTATAGCACGAAATGTATTAATAACAAACAATTTAATTAAAAAAAAAAAAACATCAAAAAATCGACAGAGACAACGACGCAATTAACTAAATTAGTTGATAAATATTGTATATTATGTGTATAAACAGTATATATATAATGAAAATTACGGACTTCCAAGGAAAATATTATATATTTTTTTTTTTTTTTTTTTCCCCCAATTGGAAAATGTATTGCCTATAGAAGGTGTAATATTATCTTAACGGAAATTTCGTCTGTTACGATTTAATATATTCTAATGGTTTATCAGGAAATCGTCATTAAATAAAGCATTGTTTTCGTTACTATGACGTGTGTTGTAACGTACGTATTCAAAATATTTTTACACGTTTTATTTTTAAATCCCGAGTGCAGCAAAGAAAACCTGTATTACAATAATTTGACTACAATTTATTCGGTTAGTAAAACCGCTTCAAATTGATGACGTTTTACCTTAAATGGTGCTGGTTTTTCGCGCGGCGGTACTTACAATTTTGAACAATTTGTCTAGATTCTCAATAGTTTTCTTAAAAATGCAAAAACATTGACACCAATTGGCGACCAATTATATGTATTGTATATATTTGTTGATTTCTTGGTTAACCCTAGGTAACGCGCGAGGTGCTACGGGGCTACGAGGGAGAAAATCATAATATTATCCATAGTAGCGTTATATTACCTAACCAGTGTTCCAAGCTCCGTTCAGAATAGTTTTTTCGATTGCAGTGATTTGTGTTTAATCTTAGTCCGTAGTACTACATTATCTGCTCTATATCTGTCCTATATCAACCTAACTTTCCATCGACCTCTGGTGCGAATTATGTTTAGCTTCTTATAATAATTTTTACGGTGAAAATGATAATTGTATGAAACTTTGAAGTAATATTCGGTAATATAATAGTTTATATTACAAATTAAAATTACTATTTTGGTAATTTTTATGCTATGCATACCCTTTTTTCGTAAAAACCAATAACTACATACAATATTCATGAACGATTGGGAAAATACAAAACTAATCAATAAAGTTGTGTTTAATCTTAGTTAAAAATGTTACTTAACACTTAAAATGATTTGATGAATGATTTATGTAGACATTTAAAACTTGTTAATTTATTCCAAAAATATTATTTTTAGTATTTTTTGAATAGAATCAACAATTATATTTTATATAATCAGACAACTACGGGTAAAACATATCATTTCATGCTTTTTTTTTTTATAAAAATCTTATACATTGTATACTTTATACAATGGTACAATAATTCAATCTCGTTTATAATAAATACACATTTGGTTAAATAAGGTAATTTCACAAATAGGTAATGGTTCAAAGTATAATCGTACAATGTATTATTATTGTATTTATCAGTCCAAGAATGTTTTGCATAATACGCGCGTTATGCAAAAAGGGTACCTACATTATATTATACATTATTTGACTTTTACATTGATCTGCACCCGCGTCTGCAACCTTCCTTGATAATCGTTTTAATGGATTAACTGAATTACAATTTTAATACATTTTTGTCCTTAAAACGTTTCTGACAATTACAATTACAAGGGTGACCTGATTTTTAGATTCAGGGCGTATTTTTCGTTCAAACCAGAAAAAACAACACTTCGTAGAGTATGGATTTTGATAGTTTTTGATTTTTCTTTTTGGAAAGAGAAATAATTTTTCAGGGCACATTGGACTTGGATTTTGAAAATTATATTTCTGACAGTTACAACGCTATAGTTTTGAATACATATGACAAATTGTCACTATTTTTTTTTGTGATTCCCAATTACTTACTTAACTATTGCAAACTGTAAGAATTGATCCTCGTTCAACCAGAAAAAATATAATCGAAATCTGAACACTCTATAAAGCATGAGAGTTCTTACTGTAAACCGTATTTGGAGCAAAATAAAACAGATCACGCCCTTAGTATATAAGTTAATCTGATTGAACTATTTGTTACGAACTGTTAAGACTTGTTAGCTGTAAATTTTAGCAATTTATCTGTATCCGGTTCCACTTGCCTTTTATCGTCACTTGATCTTTCCTTTCCAGCAGCTCTGACTTGCTGGAAACTTACAATGCATCAGTTATGAAATAGGTTCTTTTTTGCGCCAGCCCAAGCGAGTCTTCATTATTTTATTTCGCTCACTATAATATTACCTAATAATATTAATAATAATAATTTTAATTTATTATTTCCTCCAGAAAACTGACATTTAGGCGGACAAACAAGAAACAATTTTTGTTGGGATCTAGCGAATAAAAATATATATTACACCGTAACCTCTTGTTTGAGTTCAAAAAAAGGTGAATTATTCTGAAAAAAAATTCAATGTATTTTATCAAATTTAGAACGCGAAGAAAGGCTTTGAAGATTAAAATTACGTTGGAAGTTTTCATTGTTAAAAGTATTCTTGTACCTACTGAATTTTATTGTTCACGGATGCGGTCGCTGATACGTGAAATATAGATCGTGTATAACGATGTATAAACGTTTCACCGATCACGAAGAAAAGTAAAGATTCTTTAGGAAAAAAAAAAAAATAATAGAAATCATCAAAACAGGCAGGTACTGAAATATTACATTATATATCTTTACGTACGCGCGAAACAAACGTTAAATTTTCAAAATAAAGTGAACTTTTAATTTGCAACAAATAATTATGGTTTAAGTATTTTAAAACCGACATAATTGTATGTACAATAACGCTCGGTTCCGTTTTGCACGATAATATTTCGAAAGAAATTTCAGTCGTAAAGCAAAAATTTTAAAGGTAGTTTTTCGTGAATAACGAAACGTAATATTTCCGCTGCTTTCAGTCCACTAACCGTTACCCGGATCGCCATAATAATATATACTACATACTATAATAATAAGAATATTGAAGTTCTGTACAAATATATTGTGTAGGACGGATTAAATTTCGGTCGCGGCATTACATCTACGCGAACGAACACTGTAACGCGCAACTATATATTGTGCTAATATTGCATTTTCCAGAGTAGTTTTGTATACGAAAAACCGTCCGATGTATTTGATTCCGACGAATTCTCGGCGAACGCGTATTTCTCTCCGTGCGGTAGACTGTAAAAAATACGCAGAGCAGAATAACGCGAACGCGGTCGTGAGAATGCGGGGAACGCCCGCGAAAAGCAGACGGTATGGACGCGATTGAATGGCCAGGGCCAGGATACAGTCGCGGGGTTCGCGTACGTGATTCGGGATCTTGGCGAATAGTCGTAGAAAAGCCGAGAGGGAGACGAAAAAAAAAATAGCTATAGCGGCTGTTTAATAGTGCATAGTCATGCGTAGGTATTACTATTATGTTACACAAAGACGAAAAGCTTTTATCGTGCGGCGGAATTTCTGGACAGCGAAGTCTGCGGAATCTCGATCTGTATTTAGCGCCGCGGACGTGTAATCCGACGGTTGCACGTCATCGATATCGGCGGGAAAAAAAAAAAAAATTCGGGAAATCGTTTGGTCGGAACTGTATGTTCGGAAAAATATTTCCTTCGCGGAACGCGTAATAATCCGGAAATTAATCATTGGTTTCTAAAATGTATTTTTCGCTCCGTCAAGTAGACGTTTTCAAATCGCATTCGCCCGCCTGTGACCTACCCTGATTTTCCAATACAAATCGATGGTTTGTTGTTTTTTTAAAATTGAAATTTTCACACGAGCTGGCACAAACAGGCGAGCGGTGGTGACCGAAGTCCCGCCAGACGAAGCAATCGATGGCGATTTTAGCCTGAGAACCATTGGTTTTCACCATATTTCCCTGTTTTCGCGTGCCATTATTTCATCGATTTGTACAGCTCCCCGGAAAGCCAAAGGGGATAAACAAGACGTTACGACTGCAAGAGTAATGCACGGTTATTTTGTATTTATTTTTACTTTTTGTGTATAATATGACACGAAAAGAAAGAATAAAAAAAAAAAAACCGCAACAATAGTCGTAGGTTTGACGTAATAACCGGTCCACGGACGATTTCCGATTGTAAATACTCGTGTTTTTTTTTTTTTTTCTACACAAATACCTACCTATATAACATTATATACCAACACTGTCGTGCAGTGACAAATAATAACATGGGTATTATTTTAGGTACCTACATAATAAGTCGGGGGGGGACACGCGAATTTTCCGATTGATTGCGGATAAAACCGCGATGGAGATGGAACGCGGGAAATACGGTTTGTCATAATAATATATACGAGTACGGCACGTGACTCGTCGAGTTTTCATCGATTGTAAAACACACACACACACACACACACACACATACACAAAGGTAGACAGTCAGACATTTTCTCATTCGTCCTTCTCGCGTACACTGGATAATAATAATGATAATTTGATAATATAATATGATATGATACGCAAAATTATTGATATTCAGAATACGATACACGATAGTTATTATTTATTTTTCTTCGCCGCGTAATCTCCTCCCGTGCTCGGCATTAGGCGTACGTTATTATATCATTGATAGGAAAATATTTCGTTTTTATCCGGGTGAAAGCGACTGAGCGATTTTTCGATGACGGGACGTTCGGAGTTCAGAAATCGTCGGAAGTCTTCCGGAGGAGTAATAGCTGTTTGGGAGCCGGGATTTCAGATGTTGCATTTTCCGTTGTTTTCCAAAGCTTGACTGTGCGATACTATACGTGCGATTTGAATGAAAACCGGATTTTTTTTTTTCCATTTTTTTGAATTTTTAAGTAATTTTATTAGTTTTTCAAAGCATTTTATGGATTTTTAAATTCGGATTTTAAATTTATTTTTAAGATTTGTGCGCATAAACTAAATTTAACGACTCGTATTACATCACAATATTGGACGACACGCAAAGTATAACGTCGAAACACAGATACCGAATGATTTGTTTGTTTCGTTACAAATTGGTTTCGTGTAATTTTCAATGATAATAAGACATTTTGTTTGGCATTTTTTGATAAAGTTTGATTTTTAAGTGTTTTTTTTCATGACAATTTCGGAGTTATACGAGATTTACTATATTGCTACATTAATAACTATATAGGACGAAATCTGTTCCCGTATATGTTGATCTATATTTTCAAGTTTAAATCTCTAGAAATTGTATAAATTAAGCAGGGTTCCAGTGGAAAAATAATAAATATACGTGAGGGTTCGGTTACCTTTGGTATTAATGAATGTGAAAATAATATTGGTGGATTGAGAAAATGCTATGAAAGTTGTGGGTTTTCGGTCGAAATCCCGGAGTTTGAGCTACAGCCGTGTTAGTTTTTGATTTCTTCCAGATAACTATACCTTTTTAAATTTCGTTACATTAACGGCAATACCGGGATCTACATTTTCATAATTTTTCAACAAAAAACTCAATACATTTTGTAACTACACTATGTAATAGATACATTGCATCACTATTGTCAAAATCGAAGGGAAAATATTGATTTAATCAACAAGTATAATAATGATAGATAAAATCAAGCGCAAGGAAATTAAAATGTATAATTTTGCTACTAAAACCGATTTTCGAACAATTTTTAGATACGAGGTATATTGCCATTAGTGTTACGATTTTTTGTTATACCCACGTTTAAAATGCGTAATAACGCTGCAGCCACCACGGTTTTAATTGTATTTCGAAGTCACGTAATTTCGCGTCCTCTTAATAAAATCAATTAATATTACACGTTAAATAATCGTTTATTTTGGTTCGAGGGGATTTCGTCCGTTTCCCGTGCGGCGTTGACGGCGGCGTACAGTTGCGCAACGCGCCGTGTGTAATTGAATATCCGAAAATCGAGCCGAGAACAACAGAGAAAAAAAAAAACAAATTCTGGCGCGCGCCGAGTGCGGGCACAAAAAATAAACAAATTGTTCAGTGACGATAACGCGTGACAAAAACACGTGCTCTACAGTCAAGCGTCGTGCCCGTCTAAAACGCTTGCTGTATACACCGGTGGTAGGTAACTATATACACAGTGTCACCCATTATAATATCGCATTACCCATTAAAAAATGCTAACGAAAAGCATTCAATTTTTAAAGCTTTCTCTGTTTTGGAAATTCGAGAAACGAGTAGCTCTTATTTTCGGGGGCGAAACAACCATTATTATTATTTTTATATTCAAATGGAAACCTATACTGTAAATTCCATAAATAGATTGGGAGTATTAGTAGGTTTAAAAACATTTTAGCGTTGAACGTTTCCATCAAACGAAAAATCAAAATCATGGGTTCGCCCTACCCCCCGAAAACAAGGACAACCAAAAATGACGGTAATGTAACGTTTTATCGACCGATCGTTTCTTTAATTGTCAAAAAAAAAAAAAAAATAATAAAAAATTGAATACTTTCCGAGATATTGAAATAGGTATTATATTATTATGTTCGCGGGACGCCCCGGACAGTCGAGCGGGGTATAGGCGGGAATTATGGGCACATACCTACCTCACGTCCTCACCTACTATCAAACACCGATTATCACGCGTCGTTTTGCCGTTAGCCTATATAATAGCTATAACAGTGCGTACACGACGGAAATCGGAATATTGCGCAACGTGAGAAAAAAAAATAAATAAAAAACCCGTAAAAAACGTACGAGAAAAAAAAAAACGTACAGAAATCGGAAGAAAAAAAAAAAACGGCGGCGGGCGATGCGCGCCGTCGCCCGAACAAGACGCGTGTGTGTGCGTGCGCGAATATCAATCAAATGGGTGTCGACGACGATCGAACTCAACGACGTCGCGCAATGTGTGCCGCCGTTTCCACCCGACGACGACGACGACGACGTAATATTATTATTATTAAAATTTTTTAGGCATTCGGTTTTTAATTTCACGCGCGTTCTCAATGGTTTTTGTTTTGTTTTTTTTTTTTTTTTCTCACATACACACTGCCGCAACGGCGCATTGTCGTCGTCGTCGTCGTCTCACGCGCTATGCGTGCGACGCGACACGGTCCCCGCGAAAACAACACGATTGTCTTCGCCCGCGCGACGACGGCGGTATAATAACAGTATAATAATAATAATAATAATAATAATAACAACACGAATAACGCGCGATAATAATATAATAATATGTGATAATAATAACACGAATAATGGTATTATTGTTATTATAAAACACGGTCCGACGGCGGCACCTATACATAATGGGCGTGTATAGAAACCGAGTGCAGTGCGCGCGTGTGGCGCGCGCGAGTGTGGCGCCGGTGGCGTATTCGTCTATTATTATTTCGCGCGCGTTACGCGATGTTATTGATTTACAAAACAAAACGGCAAAATGTCTCGGCCGCCTCCGTCGCCGTTACCGCCGCGTAACCGAGATAGCCGCAGCTCCCGGGACGGTGTTTTTTTTTTTTTTTTTTTTTTTTGGCAGATTTTCTTTATGTCCGTTCCCCTGCAGTCGAACGCTCGCGACGCTCATGCCGATTTCGTACATGGCCACACCCGATTCGCCGCTCCGCTTTGTGCGCCGTCGGATTTAAATGCTCCCTAGAAAAAAAAATAAAAAATTTACCCGTGAGCAGCATAATATGGTTTCGTCACGAATATAGTCGAATTTCCCCCCCTCCCTCTCCCGCCTATTTTATATTATAGAAATATTCACTGAAAAACTATAATCAATGCCATACGATAATAATTACACACAAACATCCAAAATAACGGTGAAATTTGAGTATACACAGCCTGTCCCACGAATCCTGTCCCTTGAATATCTCCGAAGATAATGAAGATGACATCGGTTCTTATACGGATTAGTAGAATTTAAAATTCTGGTCGTTACCCAGAAACTATTCATCGGATGTGTTATTCATTAAAATTTTTAGAAAAATAACCTTTACAGAATGGCTGTCTTAAAATTTTCCGAAAATAATAAAATAAAAAGTTATTTTTTAAATTTTTTTAATAATAAAAAAAATTAATTCAAATATAAAATATATTTGTAGTCCTCTCCCTATGAGTAATATGAAAAATGGAATTTGGTTTTTTTTATTAACACCGGAGATATTCAGGGGATATATCTACCGTGGGACAGCCTGTGTAAATGGTACGGGGGGGTTAAAAGTTTAAATCCTCAAAAGTTACACGGTACTAAATGCACTGATACTATAACTCGTTGCACATACAAAAATGAATCACTTTCGCTTTATTCAGAGTATTCATAGGTAATCCTCCTCCAACAAAAATTTGCTGCTGGTGAAATTCATATTGAAACTCAACTTTTATTACTTAATTACGCTTACAAAACAAGTCTAATTCCCGAGTTTATGCTCATATTTAGAAAAGTTAAATAAAAATACATTTTTTTGTTGATATTTATTTAAACTAAAATTTCATCTATTTATGGAATTTCGTGTATACAATTGTGTTTGAAAATCAAAAAGCGTTGTGGGTACTTTCAAAATTAAGGAAAACAAAAAAATAGCGGTATTGTAACATTTTGGAAAGCCTTGTTTCTTAAATTTTTAAAAAAAAAATTCCGAAAAAAGTTAACACTTTCAAGTTTCTGAGACAATGAGTCTTATGGTTATGTTATTTCCCGCTTGTAAATAACGGACACAATAAAGTATATTAATAGTCTCTATTTTTGGGGAGAAAATTTGTCAAAAATGCGTAAGGCCGGGGCAACACTTTGTCAGTTTTTAATCTATTTGTTCTTTCGAAAATAGATCCGTTACCATCGGATTGTGAACGTTTTATACAGGCCTAATCGTCCGCGTTTCTGGGGTTTTATCGGATATTTCGATGACCTTGCAATAAATATAGGATTTTGTGTAAACTGAAAGTTTTTACGCACATAAACTTAGTACTGAACGCGTCAGTATGCCCCTAAAAAGTTGTCGAGTATTTTCATATAATATATATTAAGACTTTGGACACGCTCACTGTTCGGATAAAATCAACAGTAATTTTAAACCAACTCGACATACTTCGCAGATGTGATGTTCAGAAGGTATTGGATATAAGGTTATGTATTTTATTTACTGAAATCATTGCAATTAGAAAACGACTCTGAGTGTTGTTCGGTAAACTGTTTTGTTGTAGTAGTTCTGTTTTATTTGTCTTATTATTTTGCAGCCAAAATAACCCAGAAATCAACAAAACTAAAACCAACATGATATGTGTTAATATTTGTAAATTAAATACATTAAATGTCAAATATTTGTACATTTTTGAAGAAAAACCGCTGGGAATTCAATAAAAAAAAACTTTAAATTTTTTTTTAGGATGATATTTGGCATAAATAGCCATTATATCACGATAAATACTCTTTAAGAAGGACAACATAGAGTTATTTAACATAACATATAATATTCACATATTATCAGAACTTCAAAAATTTATAAATTCAAAACTTAGTCAGTCCGCTTAATTCTGACTTCACCATCGTTCTTAAACCAGCAATGTATATATATAAAAAAAAAAAAAATTATAAAATTAGATATTAAAATTCCCATATAAAAAAAATACTACATTAAACTCAATTTTGTTTTACCACAAAGTGAAACTCTTAATGAACCTCCTGTTAAATTTTTAAATATTTCTGTTGAAGTCTAACAGTTTTACCACAGAGTAAATAATGCACAAAACTCTCAAAATGAAAATGTCTATAAATACCTCAAAAATGGCTTAAATTTTTTGAAAATTTTACCATATATAGAAAAGGCAAACATAAAGTAATGAGTTTTTGTCTAAACTTCAAGTCTTTACAAATATTTTCAACTGAATTTTAACAAATTTAACAAAAATTGAAAAATAATAAAAACATTATTTTCGTAAATTTTCTGTTTTTCTTACGTTTTATCCTGGTTTTTCCCAGGTATTACAAAAACCGCTTGAAAAATCAAAAAATGACCTCACATAAGTACCATTTGGACAACATTCCCTTTCATAAATTATGTCACGCGTATATATCTTAACAAGATTTCCGGTAGAATTTTCGTCAATAGGATAAAAAAAAAAAAATAGGCATCTTAGTAAAACAATACATTCTTTGCTACATCGAGAATCTAAAACATAATGTGTTTATTGACATAAGTCTTATATTGCACATCATTGTACTGCAGTTTCTCAGGATAGATGACAATTTCGTAGTTTCGCCCGTAGTGACGCCGGAGCAAACTGATACGATTGTAATATTGTTACGATTCAGATGACACGTAACAATAAAAGAAATAATATGGTGTAAAGTAATTCAAAATATACATCGATGATGTAGTTGATTCTATTCAGACGCCATTTTATTATCTAACGTATAATGTGCTAAAATGTAAACAAAAATAACGTGGTGGATAAACAATAAATTTACAAATTATAAATACAATTTGTATGTGTCTGTTTTCGATTTTCGGTGGAACGAGAAATGTTTCGGTTAGAACTTTACCGTTATTATATTTTAGCTTTAACAATAATATTTCATACACGAGAAAAATTCATTTTTTCTCCTTTTAATTTTAAATAGTTTTATAATTTATTTTAAATTATAAATACAAAAAAACCACATATCTTTATTATGAGACTCTCTTTTTTATAATGCTTGTCATCTCATAATTTGCGATTATTAATAATAAAAGTTAATTTGCGATACATTGTACAAACAGTATAGATTGTAATTTTTTCAAAATTCAAAATATTACTATATACTATAAAACAAATCCAAAATGTTCCTATGCTGTAAATCGATTCGTGTGAAATAGTGGTAGAACAAAATTATGGAAATTCAATCCAAGCATGATAACCTTACCTATAATCTAAATATTCCAATTCCGACGATTTGATGTTATAAGATAAGAAAAAAAAAAATACATATTTGATTAAATACAGGGCTATTTTATTTGCCAAGGATGTAACATACGCAGTGTTATTATCCAATACTATCATTGGCTGTTATTTCCATGGGGAATAGTTTAAAAATCATATTTAGAATGGTAAATACGATTTTTTATGACATTGTTAATGAGTTGAATATTTAGAGGATTATAAAACGCCGAAGAGACCGTCATAGAAATGTCAAATCTTACAAAATTTTATAATACATACCTATTTTTTATAAATAAAATCGACTTTTTATAAACTTTTTCACTTATTTTACGAGAACGCATTTTTGCTAAATTGCCTCGCAAAATAATTCTCCATAAATATGGAGAATGTTACTTGTTACGGCCGTTTAAAACTGAAAATCATGCAGTTGAAACTTCTTTTATATAAGTGTATAATTAATTTACTAAAAAAAAAATTATTATTAAATATTAAATAACGGATAAATGAAAGTTAAAAAATATATAATATGTGTGTTGTTGTATGCAATATATGATAGTACCTCTATTCATGTTTACATATTGAAAACTGTAACGTAGCCTGAGAACATTGCAATTACGTCGTCATACGTATATATTGTGCACATTTTGACAGCTTACGAAACACAATAATTATTTTGTGTTTGCAAAAAAACTAAATTAAATGTCATAATTTTGTATTGTTTTCGGGGAATAATAAAAAGTAGATAACATCAATAAGTACGTCACATTATTTACTCGATAAAGATTAAAATGAAATTTAAATTGAAAAATATGATTTTTAAAGCTAAGCACAAAAGAAAACGACTGGCCGCAAATAAATTTTTAATATAGTTATACTTTTCGTCATACTACACGTCATGTACACATTAAATGATTTTTGTAATACTTACATTGCGCGTATATTGCACATATTTTGTTTTTCGTTTTGGCGATTCTATTTTGTTTATAAGCTAGTGGGATTGGGAAACTTTTGGAACCGAAACCACGGAGAAAAAAAAAGATAAGATTATGCCAACCCAAAACAAAACATAACTTGGTTCATACCTGATATTGCTCAAACGTATCTAGAAGTAATTAGACGGGTTATACCCTCAGAATACCTATAACAGTTTTAGTTGGTAAAAAAAAAAAAACACCACCGCAGATTTAGATAAAGCAAAGAGGAAAATATAAAACCACACTGGGTAGATCACAGGATTCTAATTTGGCGTAACGGATCCTGTATTTGTTATTTTCAGTGATCTATGAATTAAATAACTAACTGTTCAGTGACGTCAATCAAAACTTTTGTTTGAAATTTAGAATGGTACCATATTACATAGTATACTTTTAGCACTTAAATATATTACTGAAAATAAAAACCATTCTTTTCTTTTTTTTTTTATTTTTATTTTTTTTTTTTGATGATCAAATCGTTATGTAGCTTTTATCCTTATCTAGATATTTATTTTAGTAATTATCCCTTATAAAGATAAGATCTTAGATATTATAATATATATATATCGTTATACAACGCTGATTACTTCTCGTTTCGCACTACTGAATATTTTAATTTATTTACTAAAACTACATTATGTTACAACCTTACACGTCACATAATCACTTTATTTTATAACTCCCTATTAATACATACACAACTATTTACTTTTCTCCGCAATATCAAAAACTACACTAAACATGTAACGATATAATATAAAACGTGCATTTTTCTCATTAATAACTATTACATTTTACATTCAAAACAGAGCGATAAGAAGCCACCTAAACCTATTGTTATATAATTTGTTCTATGAAATCATCTTTAGATGTAGTAAAAATGTTAAAGCGTTTCGTTCAGTGGATTTTTTGGATGATACTTAAATGATAATATGTAATATTTGAACCAATTTTGTTGCTCGCGAGTCCACTAAAATTTACATTTTCTAAAATAGGAACTCCTTTATTGACTCCAGATTGTGTGATTCCTATTTGTTCAATCATTTTCCACGATTACGATTCTCTGGTTGAGTTTGAGGTAATGGACACATTGTATAGGTACATTTTATAAAGACAAATATTTACTATAGCTTCTTCGAATCATTCTTTTAGTATTTTTATTTCTTAATAAGTTATTAATAGTCAAAATTAAGTTAAATTAAAACACGCGTTTTTGGATAAAAAATGAAAATATTTTAAAAATCATTCAAAGGAGTCCTAGTAATTGTTCTTCTTTATAAAATGCATACTAGGTACCTTTGCCTTATCCTCAACCAGAGAGTCGCAATTGTGGAAAAACAGAATGTCTTTGTTGCTATATTATATATGAAGCAGACAGAGAAAACAAATATTGTCACGAGGATGTAAGGTTACATAGAGTATATTATGTACTTTGTATCTACATATACGAGTATATATAAAGAGAGAGAGAAGTTTTCCTATTTAAAGTAATAGAAAAGAAATAAGTAACCTATATTTATTCACGTATAATTATATTTGTACTATTTTACTGTTATACTGTTAAGTATATTTATTTAAAATCAGTTTGAAATGTTTGAAAAAAAATATAACATATAATATTAAAAAAAATGGTTTTGTTAATGAAACTAAAAATATGTACTCAAAACAGTAAATTTATGTTCCAATTTCCTAAATATTTCGCTCGTATTATAATAATTATTAACATCACATTTTAAGTTTAATTTAGAAATTTAAAGATTTTAAAAACGATAGGGATCTTAATATTTTTCATACCTAGTAATAATTTATGAATATTATACTCTACTTGATTATTTAATATTCACGCATGAGGAATTTATAGAGATTAAATCTTGAAACATTACTTCCGCTGCAGATAAAAATAAAGAAAAGTAAATAGCTGATAAATAACGCTGTATTCAGTATGAAATTATTTGTTTTACCATATTTGCGAAATAGTATTTGATAAGTTATCACCAATTACTACGAGGTATGGCTATTAAATAACGAGACTGGTTACGAAAAAGTGTTTTATTATAAAAGTTATTCTACATTCAAATGCTCCCCTTCAATATACTTCCCTTCCCTCACCACACACCGTTTCATTTGTTTCTTCCATTGCTCGAGGCAGTGCTGGAAGTCTGTTTTCGTAAGACCATTCAGGAGTTCCGCCGATTTTTGTTTCACCTCTTCCATCGACTTAAACCGGATTCATTTTAAGGCAGATTTTATCTTCGGACAAGTAAAAGTCGCAGGGTGCCAAGTCGGGTGAGTAAGACGCGTNTGTTTTTCCACAATATCGACCGTTTCTTACGAACTCATTCGCGCAATGTTGCCAAAACTGTCAAATAGTAATGTTGGTTCACAGTTTGACCCTCTGGAACCCATTCAGTCATCACGATGCCGTTGATATCGAAGAAAACGGTTTTGAATTTGGATTACGACTGAATTGGATTCCGGTGCACTCTCGACCTTCAGAAAATAATTTATGCCACTCAAAAACACGCGCCCGAGATAGGAAATCCTCACTATAGGCCTCTTTTAACAACTTATAGCACTCAGTTGGAGTTTTTTTTAGTTTAACGAGAAAATTTTACGTTTATCCGTTGCTCCTGTTTTTCGTTACACATGGTTTTCGGCACGAGAAAAAAACACGTTCGTTTCAAACCACTACTGCACAAATACTATAATTGTGACGAAAACGTGTTTTGGTACGTGCATCGATAAGATATCTAGATACCCAACGCATTACTCGTTTTTTTCACTATCCATCTAGGGCGTCCTCTTGGCAATCAGTCTCGTTATTTAATAGCCACACCTCGTATTCGTAACTTTTTTAACTCTATTAAGTTCTCACTTGATAGAAGTACACATACTTTTACTGTAGGTACCCATTTAATTTGATGAGATTTAAGTATTCATTAAAAATACATTTTATTTTGTTTAGTTATATGTTTAGTATATTTTATTTATTTTAACTTTTTTTCGATTAAATCAATCGATACGTTATCTTAACAACATATGGATTGAAATTATAAAAAAAAAATCCACGTTTTTATTATATTATAGTATATTTTATTCGCATTTTGTTTAAGGTTGCCAATTTTATCCTGTCGACAATCACTTCAGATTCGTTAGGTTATCGGAAACCACACAGGTCGGTTCTGAGGTGATGCAAATCGAGGTGCATCCAAGGAGAAACCTCAGCTTGCAACCGACCGAGAACGTAAGTACTTATTTAGTATATACAAATAGTAGTCGAAATTCAAACACTCAACAATTTTCGTATATTAAATGTATTTTAAACAGCACGATGACGTGGCGTTTTTTAAATTCCGAACAATCAATCGGACGACCATTTCGTTGAGGTTAGCTCGATCACTGGACGATTTAGTCGACCGGCCGAACCCTATCGAACTTCTTAAAGTCAAATTGGTCTGCGGAGTCGAAGACATTTCGGTAATTATTCCTTTCACTTAGAAGTTGAGATGTATATCTGTATTACAGATACAAAACTAAAAATTGGTTTTACGCAGATATTATTTTATATTGACATTTTAACATGTCATTTAATTTTCAGTTTAGCTCATCGATTGTTATTACTGCGTATATTGACGATGTGAACGATAACAGTCCTTATTTTATCAACACGCCTTATAACGCTGAAATTTCTGAATCAACGCCAGTCGGTAAGTATATATTTTATAACAAAAAAATAATTTTGAATACATCGATTTCTATTCCCACGAACCATAAAAAGGGACTACTATTATACGATCGATAAAAGCGATGGATAACGACAAACCGTTTACGCCGAACTCTGACGTACGATACTTGATTGCCGCTTCGAAGTCACAAGCGAAATTTTCATTAGTAATGGACCCTGAAGGTTTCGCGGCAATAGTACTTAAAGAACCGCTTAACTTTGACAGTGGTGATCGACAGTTCTTGTTGGAAGTCTACGCCAAAGACGAGGGCTCTCCATCTAGAAACACTAGTACGGTAGTCGACGTGCGAGTGAAACGAGATGAATCCAGAGTGTTGAAATTCTCTAGCGAGGTTTACCACAGTCAATTCAAAGAACATTTTCCAATTACTGTAAATTTATAGATATAATTATAAACTGTTTACGAAACGTAATTTTATTTTTTAAATATGTATTCTTAATACACATCAGGGTAAACGAATTCTACAAGAAATCCCATTCAATCCGCCGATTCGTGCGTTTTACGAAAACGACGCGTTAAATGCTTCCATAAGATATTCGTTGGTATCCGCAGATCTCGGTGACGACGTATTTCATATAGATCAACTATCCGGCAAAATATATCTCAACAAAGAGATCGACTCCGATTCACTCCCGTCGAATATATTTTTACTCAAAGTAAATATTAACATATGCTTTTACTTATCTAGTGAAATAAGTTAGGTATATTAAGATGAATGTAAATATGTAATACCCATAAATTAAATATTTGATATAATTTTGATGATATGTTTTTAAATTTATTTGTTGTTATAGATTCAAGCTATCGATACGAATAATCCTTCTAAAAGAGCATTGGCTGAAGTAGAAATCGAAGCGATCGATATAAACGATAACCAACCGAAATTCGAAGTCGATTCTTACAATGTCAGCGTGTATGAAAATATTCCAAACGGCTATAACGTGTTGAGAGTAGTCGCTACGGATTTGGACCAAGGAGACAACGGCGAATTCGTCTATCATTTAGTCGATCCTAGTCAAGCTTTCACTATTGACGGAAAGACCGGTTGGATAACGGTACGGAATCATACAAAATTGGACCGGGAACAAAAGTCGAGTTTTTCTCTGCGAGTTTACGCCAGGGAAAAAATACCGTTCGTCATACAGCAAAAGGAAACGGGGTAAGTAAATACAATGAAACATAGTGGTTTTAACATAATTTGTTTATATTCAAATGTGCCTTTCAGAGATGCGTTTGTCAGCGTGGAAATAACATTACTCGATGTTAACGATAATAGTCCGACATTTGTGCCAAACAATCAGTACATGTTTAAAACAAGAGTTAACAGTCCATCAGGAACTCCGATTGGAAAGGTGTTTTTTAATTTTTCTTTTCTTCTTGTTTTGTTAGATTAGGTTGGATATGCTTATATAAAATTCATTTTCTGGATTTCCCCAATCTGTATGGGAAGTTACAGATCATCAGGACTATCTCTGAAACCACCGATTCGATTTAGGTATTCTTTCTATTGTATTAAATAGAAGATTGCGGGATGAATAAATAATCGAGCTATGGTGGGGTGGATTTAGTAACAGAAAAATATGTAAAATTAAATTTTTAATTTGAGTTTTCATGGAAAACTTAAATTTACCTGGAAATACCGCCGGATAATGACTACTGTTTCTAAAATTAAAAGACAAAAATCCAATACTTTTTTATTTTGTAAATGTTGACATTTATTTTACCTCCACATTTAAACTTTAGGTTGAAGCTATAGATCCCGACGAAGGAGACAACGGACGAATAGTGTATAGGATTTCGTATTCACCGAATAACGACTCGGAAGTTTTCGCTATTAGTCCTAAAACTGGCGAAGTGTTCGCAAACGAAATGCCATTGTATCCGGGCAAACATACGATAATCGTGAACGCTTCGGACCTACCTGTGGACCCAAAAGAAATGAAGTATTCGTTAGCCGTCGTAACGATTACAGTTGTTGCGGAAGGTAATAGAAATTTGAATGAATTATTTAATTTTACAAATTAATAATAATAATAAAAAAACATATTTATATTTTATAATAAATGACTTACAGAAATCACTAATCCGGATTTCGTAAACGTTCCGTATGAATTTTGGGTTGGCAGTGACGTACCGGTCGGTACGAGCGTGGGCCAAGTCAGAATAGTTTCAGAAAATCCTAATATAGATTATGATTTACTTCACACTTACCCCGAAGGAGGTATACTATTCAACTTGAAACTATAAAATGTACCTCTACAAATTAAATGAATTTTTAAACTTTTCTAGTGCCATTCGCCGTGGAAGAGAAAACCGGGACAATATCGGTTGTTGAGGTGATTTCGAATTTCGATCGGACTGATTATGAATTCGAAGCGGTCGCGACGGATAATCGAAATTTGATTATTTCGACAAACGTAACCATCCATATAGTTTATTCGGATTCCAGTCAAACTTTAACAAAGTACTTAACATATTGTTTAATTTTTAAAGTAAATTTCGTATAATATTTAATATTATTATTATTTAAATTTTTATAGAACTGTAGATCCCATAAGTGTAGTATTTCGTGTTCGAGAGAATCTACCGGGTGTTGCTATCGGAAGGCTTTGGAATATGGATTTCTCAAACTCTTCAACCATGTCCAAGCCGAATTTTATAGTCGCTGATCCGGACGACGGAGAATTATTTACCGTATCCGACGATGGCGTTTTATACACGAAATCTGGTTTGGATAGGGAAACAAAAGAAAGTTTCAAGTTGACGGTCATTGCGGATCGAAAAACAAAAACTGGTATCCACCACGCGACCATATTTCAAATACGTATTATAGTCGATGATGAAAACGATAATGCACCCGAATTTCAAAAAACCCAATACGAAGGTTGGGTGTTGGAAGGTTGTTCTGCTGGTACACCGGTTAACTTAAATTCACCAGTTAGAACGTTCGACCGAGACTTTGGATCGAATTCTGATTTTTCGTTGACACTAAGAGGAGAAGGTGAATAACGTTTTTTAAAGATAAATCTGTAGCTCACTAATTAATTTATAATTTTTAGTCTAATTTGTATAGCCAATAAAACTCGAGATAAAACTAGATTATAATTTAAATGGTTGTAACGTTTACACTTTTTATTTCCGGCGATCCGTTTGTAAAGCGAATAAATTAAAAATATTAGCAATTAAGTATGAAGGTACCTACGATTCCGGTTTGCGATTCCTTGCACACGCTATAGTAATTAATTTGTATTCAACAAACGCCAGTGTAATTAATTAATTAATAAGAACGCTGTCGAGCGTTCTTGTTAGTTAGTACCTGTGATGTATATGTATTTTTTTTTGTGTGTAACTTCTATGACTCTAAACGGTATACGTTACCTTACCAAATTACTACAATTTCTGGACGTCTTTTATAATGTTTTAAATTAAATAGTGTCTTCTGACTTAAACGGATTAACACAAAAATAAAAATGCCAATATTGTAACATGACGTAGCCTTAATATAAATTTATAAATTTAAGATTTTTTTTAATTTTATTGTTACAAGAAACAATTTTAAAATATTAAAAACTCATTTAAAATTAAGCAGTAACTAAAAAAAAGTAATTTTTTCAATCATCACCACTATATTATATATTATATATATTAGGGCGGTTCTTATTTGGTTGATGGTAAAATTTCTTTTTGGACGCCCTCTAACTTTGTTCTAAAAAACAAAATAAAAATTATTACTCAATAATTAATTAGTTAAAAAAAAAAATTAAATTAAATTATCAAAACATTAATAATAATTTATAATGATTTCAGGTAGTGAAAAGTTTATGATTAACAAAGAATCTGGAGATGTTATTGTTTTGAAGCCTACAATAGATCGAGAAGTTATGGATACGTATTATCTTAAAATAATAGCCACAGATAGTGGAAATTTATCTTCCGAAGCTACTCTAACTATACACGTCACTGATATAAACGATAATGTTCCAATTTTTAAACGTATAACGGTATATCCGAAAGATAAACTTAGAGTTGCCGCCAGTTCTAAATCGAACATTTCAGTTACTTTGGGAGATTATTTGGTACCGCACAGATTAGACAATGGAAACACATCGATTGTCATGTGGTTGCCCGAAACAATACAACCGGGAACACCAATATTAGCGGTAAATGCAGAAGATGCAGACTCCGTGGGATCAACAATCACATATAAACTTGTGAAAAGCGGTATGGAGTTTGCTATCCATCCGATTTCGGGTCAGCTATCGGTAGTGAGTCAGTTAAAAATTGGCGAACAAGAGTTAAATGTGACCGCGGAAGATGAGGGTGGTCTATCGACTTGGATATTAATAGTTATATTTGTCGAAGAAGATATTTTATTTGAAAAAAAGTGAGCTAAATTAATTTAATTATAATAACATTAAATCGCCTACCGAATAATAATTTTGTTTTTTGTTGTAGATCGTATGAGTTTTGGATACCCGAAGGCTCATACAAAAATCACGAAATCGGTTGTATCATCACAGAAGAAACTTCGGTTGTTTACTCATTGTCTAAAAAAAGTTATCGAAATCCCTCGTTCACCATGTCTGATGCCGGGTGTTTATTAGTGTCCGGTGATTTAGACAGAGAAACCAGAGAGTCATTTGATCTTCGGTTAACTGGCAAAAGGAAATCTGGCGGAACTCCGTCAACAGTGGATATTGTTGTAAAATTGTCGGACGTAAATGATAATGCACCGCAGTTCCGAAATCATCACAGAGTACGAAAATTACAGGCCAATGAGATCGGACTGAAAGGGTTTGAAGGAGAACTCACTGTGCCTGTATACGAAGCAACACTAGCTGAACCCGGAGCGATAGGTACTATGATCACAAGAATTGTTGCCGAAGACCCCGATGGACCCGAAGATGGAAATTCTGAAGTAAAATATAGTCTTTTTGGATCGGGCTTGGAGTTCTTTGATATAGACCAAACAACTGGAGTAGTCACATCGAAAATTCCACTGCAAGGGGGTATTTATAATGTCACCATAATTGCATCAGATTCAGGATTCTCGAGAAAAGACAACGCGGCGTTGTTAATTGTCAGTGTAGCTGAAAAAAATTCTGGAGTTGAAGAACCTCTGCTTGAACTCCGATATTTTGAAGTAGAAGTTGAAGAAAACTGTTTAGTTCCATTAGAAATACTCAAACTTAACGTAACATCACGATTTCGACGATTCGCTTCATCCGTTAGTTATTCAATAATTCCTTCGGAAAACAGTGAAAGTTTTGAGTAAGCTTTGAATATTTTAAAATTAAAATGTTATTTTACTGAAAAATACAATTTTTTTCGTATATAGGATCGATTCTAAAAATGGTAATGTTTATCTTATCGAAAGTCCTGATAGAGAAGTAACTCCTACGCTTACGGTAATGGTACGGGTTGAAGTAATTGGAAGGAAAGGGAAATCCACTTATGTAGTACATCCTATTGCACACGATATAGGTAATTAATATTACTGAATTTTGAGTGGTACATTCAGTTTTAATAGTACTTTATTTATTTTTTAGCTTTAAACGAAGCTCGGATCGTACTAAGAATAATAGATCAAAATGATAACTCTCCTAAATTTGTTAATGAAAGTATGCCATTAGTTGCTGCAGTTTCTTCATTAGCAAGTTACGGAACTCCTGTGGCAACAGTTCGAGTAAGTTTATTTTATACGGAAATTTATAAAATTTGAAACATATACGGATGTCTTATGATCTTAATGATCTACCTTACCATATTTTTTTTTTCTAGGCTATAGATCCAGATCAGAATATTAATTCAGATCTAAGATATGCAATGGTTGGTGATCCGATTGAAAAAAGATACTTCAACGTTGACGAATACACAGGTCTTATACGTACAATCGGAGGTTTTAATCAGTTCATGAACAATACAGTTTTTGGTTTTGATGTACGGGCCACCGATAAAGCAGGTGCACCAGATGGGAGATCAGCAATAACAAATGTTTTCGTTAGTTTTGTATTTATACTAAATTTTACAGCTACCCAAATAAATGTCGAAAATATATTTATTTTTTTAACAATTAAGGTTTACATTTTGGATGATCAAAAAATTATTACATTAGCATTGGGAAAACAGCCATCGTTCATTGAAAAGTATACAGATCTCGTGATAAACTCAATGACTAATATCACTGGATGCATGGTTAAAATATGGAGAATAGATTCGAATATAAATAATATGTAAGAACTACGTAAATTATATTTTTGTAAATTTTAATACAGTAGTAAACTATTCTATGATTTTAAACTTATTCAAATATTTTTTTGTATTAAAATAATCAATAGAGTAGATAAATTAAAAATGTTAGCTTTTATAAAACAGTTATATTTCGTGACGGATAAAGTATGATTTTAATTTAATTTGTCTTAAAACCGTCAACAAAATGTACTTATTGCATACCTACTAACAGTGCATTTATCTACACAAATAAAAAAAACATCATTTTTTAGGACTGACGTTCAACTTTATGCAGTCGACCCTATTACGAATGCATTGGCGGATAGCGATTTACTTATGAAGTTCGTATACAAATATTATGTTTTTTTTTTTTTTTACAATTTCGCTCCATTTTAATTAATATTAAATGTATACATTTATTTTTTTTATTCAAGTTTAATGTTGGACAACCAAGATGAAATTAATCATGCCCTTAAACCGCTGCAGTTCATCGGGTTTTCTCGAATACCAAAAAGTCCTAACGACGTGATCGTGGAAAATTCGTTAAGTCTTTATACGTCATTTGAACTATTAACGGTGTTATTTGGATTCGTTATATTCATGGGTGCCATCACCGGTGTCGCTTGCGTGTGTACAGGACGTAAAAGGTATATATCAATGATACATTGTATCATATTAGTAAGTAGGTATTACATGCCTACATATGAACGTTTTATTTCCCCTTTTGGCAGAGAGAAGAAAAAAACAATCACTTCTTACGGTAATTTCGGTTTTCACGAGCGTTCTCCGTTTACTCTGAGTAACGGAAGCCTAGCGAGACTGTCGACGTGCGAACCCAGATCACTACAGAACCCCACGTCTTTCATGGAAGGTTCACTGCTATACGGCGGGGCTGTAACCAATCCTAAACATCTGAGGAGAGGTCTCCGGTGTAATCAAGCTAGGTCTGTTATACCCGTCGAACCACCCATAACTCATATGCGACCTCAATGCGGAGGAGGTAGGAGCGAACAAGACCATTCGCAAAACGATTGTTGTTCTTGTAGTAGTGCCACCGGAAGCACGGGCACAGCTAGTTTAACTGAGTCCATTATAATGAAGTAAGTTTCACCGAGATATCATGAAATATTTTAATGATCCTAACGATATCTGTGTTCAGCAGGTCTAGCGAAAATTTCGAAGACTCGTTGCGTTCAATTGACCGATCCAACCAAAGTATGAACTGTCAGAGGCATCATCGCTGTTGCGATGAAGACGATTTGAATAAAACCCAAACGAATAACGTTAAGGTCTGCAAATGCCCATTATCATTGTGATTTAACCGCTCATTATTTTAATATTGTAACTGTAAATAATATGTATAATCCATACCTATAAGTAATTATTTAATTTGTTTTTAATAAAAAAATATATAAAACAAAAAAATTATCTATTAATTATACAAAAAAAAAAACAACAACTTAATGTGTGTAATCAATATACAAACAAATGAAAATTATATAAATAATATTTATGTGGGTTTGTGTGTGTGTGTGTGTAGTGTGTAGTGAGCATAATTATTGTTATTTTAGGAACAATTTTTCAATTTCGGCGAGTTAAAAACTTGAAAGACTTTGATTTTCGACAGACAAATAAATATATACACAACTCTGAAAATACGTGAAAATATGTAAAAAAAAAAAACATCCGTGGAGTTCTATACTAAGTTTTGAAGACAAGTGAATACCATTATAAACGCGAAGATGCTGAATATACAGCGGTACACGCACCGCCGGAAATTCTACTCCTGTAAATTAAAAGAAGGCATAGTATATTGGTACAAAATCAAAAGTAGGTTTACACAGATTTAATGATTAGCTGTATTAATTACCTATTCGGAAAAATTTCGCTGATCAATCGCCACGATATGGACAAAATTTCATGAAAAAGTAAAGTGCATACAAATTATCAACGGCATGGAAATGGAATTCCTGTTTTATTATATTATAAATTTACCACCTATTTTTTCCGTTCAGTATACGGGCAAAGCAAAACGGGAATAAAAGTGAAAAGAATAAAAAATTGGCATATGACGAATACATTTTGTGTACTTTTCCCTCTATATAGGTTTGCATTTTTTTATACCCTCCCCATTGACTAAGTTATTAGTTTGGAATATTTCAGAATTTGTTTGGACTTCCTACATCTGTTATAACCGATATAACGTTCGTTTATAATTGTATAGATTATACAAGCATACAATTTAAAACTTAAAAGTAAATAGAGATGATACTCCTGATGATGAAAAGTTGAGAAGTTAAAATACATTCAGTTATTTAATTGGTATTTGTAAAAAAAAATAAATCATTGCTAACGAAATACGATTACGAGTAAAGTTCAATTAAATATGTTTTGACATGCCGTGATTTATATGATTTTCGTTAACATTTGAATTTTAAATGCGTATAAAAAATTAAAAAACTGCATTATGCTCATTGTTATGATTGGGAGAAATGGAAAGCAAATAAGAGTATTGTAGTATGATAATTAGAGCTCGGGACTTAATGTATTTAAAATTCACAGAAAAGCGCTTTAAAACGTTAAAAGAATCTTGCATATTTTTTTTAAAATAAACAATAACAGAGGATATAGAAGAATTTAAAGTTTTCACCCTTCCCACCATAATGAATCTATTCATTAAATACGATTTTCTAATTTACAAAACGATTAATACAATTTTTTTTTTTATAATACTTATAATTTTAATTAAAAACTTATGTTAATCATTTTTATAATGTTCGAAAATTGTATTTTATAAGTTAGAGCCGTTAGAGGGGTATTTTCAAAAACATACTACCATTTTTTGATTTTTTTCTTAAAGTGCGTTTTCAAGACTTTTTTTGTGGATTTTAAGTACATAAAGTCCCGGACCCTAAACTGATAAGTGATAACAAGCTAAGAATTGAGCTTAAAGGTAAATAGTACAAAACTGTGATAAAATCAACGGTGCGTTGCGGTATACATTGTTGTGCACCAGTAGATTACTACAGGTGCGTTTACATACAAATATTTCGAAGGAAGGGGTGAAGGTTGTACACTTTCACACTCTTATAACAAAGAAGTTTACATACTTTCAATTGTAGAATTAATTATTTTTCATTAAAAATGTCTATATTTTATAACCTTCATTATTAGCCTTTTAGGTATTTATTACTAAATTATTTAGTAGTATGTTAGACGTTAGTATATACCTGTAAATGTAGTTGTATAAAATACTTTTTAAAGTAAATTTTGAATATATAAAACAAATTGTATACAAATTTTGATTTCACTTAGTATAATTTTATATTTTTTCTGTAATATTTTAGAACAGATGCGGTGTTATGAAAAAAAAGAAAAAAAAAGGTTTAATATTAATATATTTTTTTAAATGAAGTGAAATTCCCTTAAATAAATATATTTCATTATTATATTTATGAAAGTATATTATAATTTGTATAGCATTTTAACACGGCCATGTTGTTTTTTTAGTTTTATCTGTCATAATACTCCCCGACCTTTTTTCAGTTGATCACGCATTTTTCCGGATACGAATAGGATTGAGTTAGATTCCCCGTAAACAATCCAAATTTATCTTAAAATTATACGACTTTTATTTGCTGGCTTTTCCAGATAAAAAGAAACAGAGCTAGAAAGAGGAAACGAAAGAGATCGTTCTGCAAACTAGCACGTTCAAATCAAAAAACTTTTCAAGTGGACACAAAATGTGTATTACTTGCCTATATTATAGTTTCTTAGTTATTTTTCTTTTATTCTGTTAATTATTCGATTGGTATTGACATTCGTTCAATACTTCATTCTCAATAATTCTGCTATATCCATATTCCGTACAATAAATACTTCTAGCCTATTACCTCGTTATAAAAACCATTGCAACGTGAACTCATAATAAAAATGTATTAATTTATATGGGATATTTTTAAAATAAAAAAATTAAGACTCGAGGTTGATTTCCTAAAGTACTACCCCAGTCAGATTTCCTTTCAGAAACAGTGCTATATTTGAAAGCCGGAGCAAAATTGCTGCTGCAAAAGTTATCAACAGAAAACAATAAACATCATTGTAAAACCGAAAGGGACGTTCCTCGCTCTACTCAGAATCTAAAATAATAGAATCATTAAACCCGTTAAAGATCCCATATTTCCTACGTCTTTTCCTGGTTTTTTCCAATTATTATAAAAACCCCTTAGACAATCAATAATCGTCCAATCTTAAGTACGCACGTGGCTACATGCACCTATCTTTAACATTTTTCTTTATAAAAGCAATGCCTAAATATTGTTGAATATTAAATGTTACTATTTTTTTTTTGTGTTTCTAAATATTTTATTCCTGACGGATAAAAATCATTTCAATAGCAATAAAATATTGCAGAATTTTACAACAATTCTTCCGTCTTCAATACCTAACCGTCAATATTTCTTATGAAATAACTATAAAAATTTGCATTTTTGGATGTAGGCATATTTTTTTCATCAATTTGACGTCAAAAATCACTAAACCAGTATTTTATTTATACATACATTTTTTTTTTTTTGGTTGGGTATTGTAAAACAGCCGTGAAATGCGTAACCATCGGTTATTCGCAATCATACGTAAGTATTTACCTTTATATTATATATATTACACAGACACTCGATTTCTAGCAGTAGATTGAAAATCGTATAGAAAGAAATGTACACACGAAATCGAAATCAAAGTGGATCTCTCGAATAAGTGGTTTTGTAAATCCGAGATAAGTGTGTACACAAAATATATAAAAACAGGATTTGGAAAGCACAATATTATATTCGGGTCACTGCGATCCTTAAAGAAAAACAATTTATTTTTGCCCTCGATCAGACTATTCGGGATTAGCTTAGAAGTAATTTTGTATAATTTGAAAATTTTCTACCGTTGATTATAAATCGAATGCTACTAAATAATAATTTAGATTAATGTTAACTGAATCACCTCGTACGAGTGACTGTGAAAGATAATATAACACATTTTACATTCAAATATAATAAATTGCATATCAAAATATATTTTATAATTAAATTGGTGGAAAAGTGCCTAAAGGCGAAAGAAAACCTAAATACGCTGCTGAGCGCAACTTACCTGAGAAGAGGTCTACAATGTAATCTGGCTCATTGGCGTTGTGATTTAAGCGCTCATTATTTTAATATTAAAAGTGTGTATAATGTGTAAACCATACATCTTAATCATTACTTGATTTGTTTTTATTAAAAATATATGAAATAAACATTAAAAATTATTTAAAAAAATTAATTGTATACATAAAAAAAAAACCAGGTTAGTATGTACAATAAATAAAATATACATACACATAGACAATACACTCATAAAATAATGCAAATAATATCTGCGTATATTTATGCGTATAATCTATAACGATATCGGCATTTAGCTGGTCTAGAGAAAATTTCGAAGACTTGTTGCGTTCGATTGACCGATCCAACCAAAGCATGAACTACTGAGCCATCATTGATGTTGCGACGTAGACGATTCGAATAAAACCTAAACTAATAACGTCTGCAAGTGCCCATTATTGTTCTGATTTGACCGCTCATTGTTTTAATATTGAAAGTGTACATAATATGTATAATCCATACCAAAGGGTAATTATTTAATTTGTTTTTAATAAAAAAAATACATAGGTATAAAAAAAAATTATCTACTAATTATACAAAAAAAAAAAAACAACTTAGTGTGTACAATAAAAAAATATACATACACATGCAATACACTTTTAAAATTATGTAAATAATATCTACATGTGTATGTGTGTGTAATTATTGTTTTTTCATGAACAATTTTTCTATCTCGGCGAGGGTTTTCCCTTCGGTTTCCGGCAGACAAATGAATATATATACAATTCCGAAAATTCCTAAAATTCCGTAGAAGAAAAAACATCCGTGGAGTTCTATTAAGTTTTGAAGACTGAACCAAGTGGATCCCATAATAAATGCAAGGATATAGAATATAGCGGCACACAAACTGCCGGCCGTTCCTCTTCCTCTGAAAATTGAAACAAGGCATAATTTTGGTAAAATTTAATACAAAATGGGTAAGCAGATTTAATGATTAATCGTAACAGTGGCGTATTTTCGGAAAATAAATCTGCCTCCATGAAATTTTTAATAAATTATATTAGTTTACGTGTAGGTGTTAAGTGATAACTATAAATTATAAACAAATAATAATAATCTATGTTGAAAGTGCAAAATTTGAGACCATCGTAGTAAAATAATCATATTAAAATCAGTTAAAACTTAAAAGTATAATATCGAGATGTGGCTCATAGAGTAGTGTTACACTAGAGACCAAAGAGTGTAACAATGATGATGGGTAATCTGATATAGAGGACGATAACAATGATTCAATAATCATACTGCCATATTACAGGCAGCAATAGAGAAAGTTATCTTGTCTTTATAATACTAAAAAGATATGGACATATTTCGCACGATGGGTGGGCCACTGTAGTAGATGGAAAGATAGGAAGGTAGTAGGGAAATTTAATGTATATTTGTACGCAACGATTAACTACTGCTAACGAAAAACGATTCTGAACAGAGTTCGGGTAATAGTATTGTTTTGTAACTATATATATATATGTGTCATATTATGGTAAAATAATTAATCTTTAATAACATATGTTTTATTTTGTACCTATTTTCCCGTTTTTCCTACGTGTTTCCCCCTTTTATTATGAAAACACCTGGGAAATTAAAAAAAAGGCTACCCTGAAGTACCACTCCAGTCAGATTTCCTTCCAGAAAAAGTGTTACTATTGTAAATCGGAGCAAAACTGCTGGTAGAAAAGTTGTTCACAAGAAATAAAAACCGTGATATTTTATTAATACATTTTCCCGGTTTTTGCTATTTGTTGGGAAAAAAAAAAAAAATCCAAAATATAAACATCATCATATAATCAATACATCTCTGGATACGCCTTGAATCTAAAATAAAAATGTAATAATTACATTTTAATGTTTAGGCTATATTTTGTAAATTTGATAAAACACATGAAATAAAAGAAAGCTGTTTATTTTTAAGTTAAAATATTGAAAGGAGATCACGGGTCTGTAAACTGAAATTTTCGTCATCTGCCCTTAGAAAAAAAAACCTAAATACGCCACTGAATTGTAGAAAATTATTTAAATACCAACCTGTTAGGAAATACCTCGCTGATCAGTAGCCAAGGAACAGGACTTATTCCTAAATTTATAAAATAGTAAAGCACACAAAAAATTAACAGTGGAATCCACGGCATGGAAAAGGAATACCAGAGTATGGCATATGCATAAGCGCCCAACGATAAACAACAGATAGAGCACACCACCATGGAAACCAAAGACAGCGCTCTTTTGCCTGTTAGGCGAACGAAACAGATACACGTCAGTGCACCTAAGAATTGTAATGCTGCAGTTAAGACCTGGAAATCATATTGTGCACAAAAATAATTAATACATTTGATGTATTATGCGCGCCAATCGATCTTAATGTTTTGATCGATCAATATTATAATAATATAATTTATTTTAGATTTGTGTATGTATTAGGTAAGTAAATAGTATTTAAAGTAACGGAATTTTTAAAACTTACAGTGAGTGTAGTTGGAGAAATCGGTACTCGCAATTTATTGAATGTACCGATCATATACGGTCGCATAGCCGATAACATAACCGCATGACTAAAAAACATATATAAAAGTACCAATCGCAATGGTTTTAACATTCCGGCACGAAGGAAATCTCTTAAACGATGGATAATACTGGTCTCACCATGCACTGTACTGTATTCATAGTCTAAAACAAAATATTTCTCATCAAAACAATAATTGAAATAATAGGTATTTTTAACATTGTATCAAGCTTTATAAATATATTATTTAATCAATTCCACCTGTAACTACTTAAAACTACAATAAATTTAATCAAATATGCTTATTTCGACAAATTTTTTTTCAAGTATCTTAATTTCTTACCGAAATACTTAGAATAAATGTTTAAAAACAGCCAAGAAAAAAAACATTTTAGGTTGTAAGACAACCTAAAACCGTTTACCAATGTTAATATATAATAACAGTGTTCAAATTTAAAAATGATACCTGCTGATTTTGGTTTTATTTTGTATGTAAATATAAACTGTCACAGAGTTCCAGAGTGCAGCAATAAACATTTTTCAAAATGATTTGACGAACATTTTTTGCATCCATAGTACGAAAAAGCCACGTGGACCTTCTTTAGAGTCCAACTAATTGTTAATGGAAATCACATAAACAAATTTGGAACCGTATAAAAGATAAAACGCATACAGGCAGACTGACGGAATGTAAGACACGGACAAATTCATAAAGTTCGTATCTTACATTACTAAATAATGAAGGAAACCATGGACTACTATAAAAATTAATCGCAAAGCATAATCCAGCATCTTTAACTAATAAACGTTCTGATAATTACAGCGTTTAAATTTAAAAATAAAACTAACGACACTATTTTCTGCGTTGAGAGAAATGTAAAATGGAATTGTAATGTTTAACAGGCGGTCTTTTTGTGAAAAATATTTGAATCGATAATTCGTTATACCTGGTACCTCGGTGTATCTGACAGTATTTTCAATCTTAGTTTCCCGTTTTGTTTTTAAATCGTTTGTGGACGCTTGACAGTATTGTTCGAGACGGTAAAATTCCTCGCTTACTTCTTCAAAAGGCACACAGCCGCGGAGCCATCTTAACGATTCCATCGCCTCATACTTTTTTCCTTTAGTTAACAACCAAATAGGTGATTCGGGAATCTATAATAATACATATTTCGTAAATTATACATGCCAAATTATTAAAATATATTTTACGTAAGTAGCACTGCCCCCTCTGTAGAAGTATTTTATATCTGCCACATTTACTACATAATTTGTTTGACATATTTCATAATTTATTTGAACTTCCCATGTTAGTTATACGTTTATAACCAAAATAACATACGTAATTTAGCTCAAAACATACAACTAAAGTAAAAAGAGCTGATACTACAGTTGTTGTAGATGAGAAGTTGGAAAGTTAGGATACATACAATTATTTAGTTGATATCAGTTAACAATGATTAATTATTGTTAAGAAACACGACTATGACTCATAAGAACGAATTTCGATTTATTTATATTTTGAAATACCTTGATTTATATGATTTTTGATAACATTTAAACTTTAAGGGCATTTTTACCGATAAATACAACTTATAATAAATTATGTGTACATTTAAAAAAATGTTTGCAAAACTATTTTATCTCTTACTTAGAACCAAATAAAAACTAAAAAACTTGAAAATGTAAAATTCCTATAAATAGTTTAAAAATCGTTAGGTAATAGCGTTTCTCTGTGATTATTTTAAACCCAATTATAACAAATCAAAAAAAAAAAACAAAATCGAAAACAATTAAATCGTTACTAACTACGACGAATTGACGTTTCACCTGCTTATTTGGAAACTTATGTGCACTGAGTTAAAAATTACGTCTAAATTCGATACATCTAGGACCTAGGTCCTAGGTATATTACTATTATGACTGCGATTTATTTTATACCAGTGAAATAGTAATGGCAGCGATAATGGGCACCGAACAGCTGACTAGCATGGCGATCCTCCATGGTAGCAACCAGCCCAGCGTGAATTCCAGCAGGAATCCGATGACCACGTGGGTGTTGACAATCGTTGCCAACGTGCTTCTGATATGAGGCTCGCTGATCTCGCCAATGTATGCCAGCGTGGGAGCTTCCATGAACCCAATACCGACGCCCATTATTGCTGATGCGGCGTACAAAATATTTGGAGATTGAGCCGAGTATAATAGATACCAAGCGACCAGATGCGGTAAGTTGGTTAACAACATGCTGCTCTTTTGACCCATAAAGCCTTGTACGTAGCTCGACAACAAGCAACCCAACGGCTGACACAACAGCATACAGCTCGCTAGAAACATATTAGAAGAAATTTATTGAACATTATGATTATGATTATTGTGTAAAAGAATTACCATGATCTAATGATAAGAGATGATATATGTTAATTTAAAAATGAATGTGGAATGAATGGGGAAGTTAAAAATTGATAAGGAGAAAATTATATCCACAATTGAAAGTAATATGAAGACTGATTTGCCTCTATCTGCCCCATCAGTATGGCGCCCACTGGATCGAGTATTTGAGTATGATTATGAGAGAGTGAAGGAGGAATTAAAAATACTGTTGTGTGATAACTGTTAAAAGAATTAACCTAAGTATAAGTCATTAAGATTAGGCTTCAAGGTACATTTACAAAACTATGATAAGACCAACGTGCAACGATGTATATTATATGACACAGATTGTTACGCTTCAGTAAACTCAGTAATAGTATAGGTTTGGCTATACAAATAGTTTTACAAATGTATATGAGTGGAAGATTGGGAAGATAGAGACCGAAAAAGAGATTAGTAGACACGGTTAAGAGAAAATCTAGGACTTCTGTGGTGTGCGTAGATAATGTATAGATATGGGGGAAACCAATATTATAGAGCCTGGGAGGCCGACGTCATAAAATTGGGAAAAGAGGCAGTGGATAAAAAGAAGATTATTATGTTATGCACAGAGAAATTAGGCGAAAAAAAAAATTGTTTACCGAACCACGAAGACTGAGAGTCGTTTAATGACAATTGACCTTGTTTGGCGTTGTGGAGTTCACCAATTACGATCGTAGGCACGACCACCATCATACCCACATCCAATACTAATAAACTCTGAGCGATTGTCGCGCATACCTTTATTATTATAATATATTAGTATTAGTATGGGCTGATCAACATAACGTAAGACACTCATTATTTTAAAAGTACTAACTTTTTTCTGTATTTGCTTTTTAGACTATTTAAAAAATAAGTATTTCTAAAATGTTACATTACGTTCATTTTTGACGCTCCTATATTATAGGGTAAAACCACTACATTTGATGGGTGGAACACTATTGAAACACGGCTCGCCGTGCCGCCACACTTAAAAGTAGAATATCTCTTCGACGGGTAGACGGAAATCAGAAATTTTAACATAAAAACTTAATTAAACTAATAATCCTTCTATTTTTTATACAGTTTGTCATTTTAAAATCAAAATTAAATAGTTGTTTCACCCTTTAAAATGAGGAAGACAAAAATATTTGTAATGTTTCATTTTAGAACTACTTATTTCTTAAATGATTTAAAAAACAAATTACGAAAAAGTTAATACTTTCCGAGATACTGAGTATTTTATGTACGACGATCTCTCTCTACAATTGTACAATATATCGTTTGGAGTAAACATTAAACAGATGTAACAGATTAAAACGGTGGATTTCATTTAATATAATTTTTTACTTTTTCTAGTAATAATTTATAACAGTTATAGTATTGCAAATCCTGAAAATTGATTTTTATATTTGTAATTATTATTTTCCATACTAGGTGAAATCTTCATGAATAAATAAATAAATAATATTTATTTGAAATATAATATAATATGGTATAATACCGTATGGTTTTCTCGTTAGTTTTTTATTTTTACCTGTGCTAATATTCGTCGACCTCTTTTCCGTGGATCACTCGTATTGTCGCATACGAATAGAACTGCGTTTGGTTCCCTGTAAACAATCCAATTCAAGGTTAACTATATGGAACTTTTAATTTCTGTCCTTCCCGGAGAATAAGAGAGAGAGAGAGTGAGGGGGAAAGAAAGAGATCATTTGGCAAACGCTTTCACAATAATACATAGTCACTGCCGTGTTCAATTCGAAAACCTTGTAAAGCTGCGGATATAAAACGTGTATTATTCGCCCATATGGTGTCTTATTGCGAAAAAGTTAGAGTTCGTTTTTCTTTGTTCCGTTATTTATTCAATCGATATTCGTACAATACTTCGTTATTAATAAACCTACATTTATTATATACTATACCTATTACGTCGTTATATTAACCAATGAAACGTTACCCCGTACCAACAATAAATTTTAATTAGATAAAAAAAAAAAATATCAGGACTTAGATTTCTATAGCACCTGCAATTTCACAGATTAAAATTTACATATTATAATAATTAATATTAAGTATAATCAATACTAATAAATAATAACTTAGTAGTTGTTTGTTTAATAATAAACACAGTTTTAACTCATTAGTTGTAATCATTAGAGTAATTGCAATATTTTCAAAGGATATTTTTTGACAGGAAATTTATATCTTATTGAAAAAACATAAACAATAACTTTTTACATTAATGTCTAAATTATGATAAAATAAATAATGAATGAATGAAATGAATTTAAATAAAATAACATAAATATTTAAATAGTATATTGTATAAATTCTATTTCTTAGAGTACTTATAGGTATCATTTTGTTACCGCAAAAAAAAACCTAGATAATACACATAATAAGTATTGTAAAACAAATTTTTACTTTCTCGCACATTCCAAAATCAAGAAAAAATAAAATAAAAATATTACTTGTTACAGAACCTAATTTAAATAGTCGTACTTGTATTTGATATTATTTAGATAAGTTTGATAAAGTTAAAATATTCATAAACCGTTTTAACGTGACGTATAACCTTATCAGTATAAGTATCAATATTATTGGTACTATAGCTACGTTGACTTATTGGCATTGGATATTTTAGATATTCGATTTAAATATCATTGAATTATGAGGTATATTGTTAAATACCTACTATTCAAAAATATAAAACCGGTAGTAGCAGTTCACAAATAATAAATATTTACTGGGAAGCTATTCCCGTATAGCCCGATCGAAAGCAAAGGAAATATTTATTTTTTTTTTTTTCTGGGATTGTAGCTATTCACATTTTATACTACACTCACCATTATATGTATCTATCTGGGATTTATAAAAACCACTTATTCGGGAGTTTCACTTTGAATTCGATTGGAAATCACAATCGCGTGTGTATGTGTGACTTTTTTTCAATCTACTGCACAAAATCGAGTCCGTATATATAAATATTATTATAGCAGATACAGTATTCTATTTGTAAATGTCTATACGTATGTCTATATAAAGTCTATATATAGACAAAATGTAAAGCCATCAAAGTATGACTTACGAACGTTTGTGAATATCCGATGATTGCACCTGTTTTGCAATACCCATTACCCAATAACTGTATTTAAAAAAAAAAAAAAACGCAAATTCAAATTAAAAAATTAAAAATGTAAACTATTGATGAAGTGATATTTTTTTCGAACAATGTGTTCCCCAAATACAAATGTTTGTATTTCATAGGAAATAAATCATGTATAGGTAGGTACGGCATCGTTTGTTTCGCCGAAAAATTATTGTGAAATTCTGTAATATGCAATTTGCTATTCGAATGGTTTTATTAGGCGCAAAAAAAAATTTGCGATGGTTACGTTGGTTACGAGTATAAATTAAATAACGTAATGTATTCCGCCTTCCCAACTACCTACCTACAACAGTGGCCGTGCCCGTCCTTACTATCAGCTTTTTTTTTTCTCACGAATACATGGGTATAAATAATACTTTGAAATAGACAGTAATTAAATACTCTTATTTGAAAACTCTCGAGTGCCAGTTTTATGCATTATAATAGCTATATATATATATATATAATTGAAAAAAAAAAAGAGCTCGCAGTACTTACACAATATAATCCCAAGTGACCCGATATTTAAAACTATCTATTTCAGCGTACCGAGAAAAAAAATTATAAAGAAATGTAAGTAGACTTTTACATTTTAATTATCACGCACTCGGAATCTTTTTTTTCCAATTCGACGATTATCACGTTTAAATTCAAAATAATATTAAATCCTTTTGTGGAATTCATTTTAATGATAACCGGAAAATAATATTTACCGTCGTATTTTGTTTTTTTGTAACCGAATTCTTTTGATGTTGGAAAAAAAAATTATAATATCATCATAGAAAATTCCTTTTAATCTTAATCTTCCGCTCTGCGACTAAAATATAGGAGAAATAAAAAAGTGTTTTCAAAAACAGATATTTAATTTTTAAAAATCTAGTTAAGTTATTAGGTTGCATTATAAATTATTTTTTGAATATACTATAAATAAAGTTAATAGAATTTCGTTATTTAGTTTGTTTCTCCTTATCTTCTAACGTGATAACAGTGTTTCAAAAAAACGTTTTAATGTGTTAAAAAAAAAAAAAAAAAAACAAAATAAAATGACTTGAATTTCATCTATCACAACGACAATACTGGTATTAATTAGTCGTAAAATTGCGTTTTGAGAAAACACGATTTTAAGCATTTTTAAAATATTTACATGTAAAACAAAGCATATTTTATTTACCAATATAACAAAATTGTTGAATTTATGTTATTTATAAATTAGATTAAATATTTAAATTATACTACTTAAAAAGAATTTATTATGTTATGAACAAATTTACCTATTTTTATTAATCACCTAAATATTAAAAATAACTATTTTGTCGCGGCAATGTATAATTTTGTGAAAACACTACTGCATTTAAATGCAGCCTAATATTATTTTACTTAACATCCTATCATACGTTTAACTTATTTAATTTTATAGGTACAAGCAAATACGTTTTGTGTACAAGAATTGCTTTTTTACCATGGCAAAAGTGGTATAATTCAAACTACACTACCATTCTGATAATGTGATATATTACTACTAATATATTTTATTAAATGGTAAGTGTTATTTGAATTATATCTGTGAAAATTTCGATTATTAGATCAACGACATCAACACCGGATGAATCAAATAATAGTATTTACGAACACAAGGGCAATGCGGCACGTAATTCGATCAAAATTTTCTGTGTGACAAACTAAATATTCCATGTTTTGTTTTACATTATTCATCGCAATGGACTATAAGTATTATTTGCCGCAAATCAGACATTTGGTAGAGGTTGAATATAAAACATATTTTATTTGGTTTTTTGTTTTTTGTATGTTGTTGACCGGAGAAAAATAAACGTAAACAAATGTGAAACTTCTTCCAAATTATTACCTACATATTAGCATTTTATAAACGTAGCTCAAAATATTCTTCTGTCCTATTTTTTTTTTTTTTTTTTAGTTTTTTTATAGATATTTGAAATTTCAAGTTTTTTTGATTTTATGTGGATAATTACAATAATGTAATTAATTTTATTTATTAGCGTTTTAGGTTCAAATTCTGTTACGTAATTTGTTATTAGGTCTTTTGCATAAAGACCAACGGCAATTGGGGGGCCCTTTAGAATTACTATTTTAAATTAACAAAATGCATTTTATACAATTATTCGATATTTGTAATTATTAATTAGATATTATGATATTAAGTACGACAAAACAATTTTTAAAAACGTACATTATTCTTACATGTTTTCATCGTGACATCATTGATTATAATATGGCTGGGAATGAAATCCTACATAAAACCCTAAAAAATGATTTTTTGTCTTAAAAAGTCTAAAAATGTATTTATTTTTCATAATTATAATATTTTAAATTGACTTTACGACAACAAAACTCGTACTGAACGATAAAGTTGAATTCATTTATAATGAATAAATATCATAAAGAATAAATTATAAATATCAAATATTTGTGATGCGAGTACATTTACAATATTTTTATTAAGAAGATTTTATATCCGCATAATATGTTAGCTCCGTCTTACTAACGGACGATATAGACAAATTACATTACTTAAATATCACATGCAAATTTGTTTAGAAACCCTTAGCTTTAGGGAATATTCTTCTCTTTAAATTTTATAATTTTAAAGCTAAAGCTCCGGTTTAAACGTAAAAACCACAATTTACTGTATGAGACAAATCGTTACAGACAGAAAGACTGGTTTAGCTTTTTTATACATGCGTGTATATAAATCATATAAGATATTATAACTATTCATAAATATAATAATAATAATAAATAATAAAAAAATAAATAATCTACTTTTCAATTATTTAATCATAAATAACGTGTTGTTATTCCCAACTACTAATGGATCTAACTGCCATTGCTCAAGTCTGTACAAAGGGCCTGTAAAATGTCAGGTTGTTCGCGAGTAGGAGAGGGAGAATGAATAATTCGAAACGGGCCACCTATTTGTAGAAAGCCAGTTATATATATATATATACAACCTTAACTGGGTGCCAGTTAAAATTGTGAAAAATAAATAGCGGAAATAAAAATCGCGAAATGTTTTAACACCGAAATTGGAACATTATTTTCGACATATTTTTCCTAAATTTAAAAGATATGATATATTATCATATATTTTAAACAACATTATCATCACAATATTTAATAAAATAAAATTTGAAAAATTGAATATAAAAAACATTAAAACTATCGATGACATTATCGATTATCTAATGTTATTATTAGTTTTGTTATTATGATAAAGGTAAATAGTGGTTAGGTTCAACCGTGGCTTATCTTTATTTCGTGATCCAAGACGTAAAAGTAGAAAAATTACGTTATTGATTATCTAATATTATTATTACTTACTATTACAAAGGCGTACGTATAAACGAAAATAATTGTTTACTTTTCGCTATTAAAACATTTCGCGATTTTGACTTTCGCGACTTTTACATGGACTCAAAATATTAAGCTGCAGGAGGGTACGGGTGTGCTCGAATACTTACTGTTCGTTGTCGGTGTCGGTAATCTCCGAGTTTTGTACAACCATCGTATTGGCAGTCGGTACACGGATTGTAATAACAATAGTAATTATTTAATAGTTGGCGGAATTATTATATTTTTTTTATTTTTGAACCGGAGCAATAGAACTTGGCGGTCGCGGACTCGGTGGCGTAATGCGATGTTAATGATATTTACGCCGGTTATGAACGGACTGCCTCGCACGTTCTTTGGCGAACACGACTATCAGTACCACACGAGGGCGTATACAAAGCGGGTGGATGTGGAATCAGATTCCACCAATAGTGTTATTTTTTTATTTTTTTTTTATTTACGTAACACACACGATTTTCGTTTTTATGTTGATTCCAAAAAACTTGCTTAAAATGAAATATTTTGCCTGCACTAGTCCCTTCTTTCCTCGCTCTTACATTCAACAATTATGTGCACACGACACTGCTACCTCGGGACATAAGAATAATCCGTAATTAAAATAATTATTATGTTATGTATTAATCCATCGGATTATTCGGATCGTTATACGTTCGGAATCTAAAAATTATAAAACACTTCATATATTATAGAAGTCCTTGAACTTTAAATGTTACGTTTGTATATTTATTTCAATTGTTACCAGCCGAAGTGAGTTCGCTTAGGATTTCACGAGTCACATATAATAAAAATCGTCGTAGACTTGTTTTTTAAGTATGTTTTAGTATTTTCATACGTAATCAAGAGGAACTTTTAAGAGTATGAGAGCAAGAAATGGGTATGTGAAAAACCACAATTGAAAGGTTCGGTGAAATAACTAAGCAGCTATGTTTTTTCAAATTTAACAGGAGAAAATTGTTTTTAATTTAAAAATATACAAAGGTGAAATGTTTATTTTTAATGTTGGAAATTGTTGTTAACAAGGTTACTTACAAGTTAATATAAAATTAAATTCAAAGTTGTGTTTTTCAATTATTTTTTACTGCAGCCGTCTGGTATTTGCTTCGAATCGGCAACACATTTTATTTATATTACATAAACAACAACGGAACAAAAACAATCAGACAGCTACTTTTGCATTATATCGGGCAAAATAATATTTGTATCCACCTGGTTATAACACAGAAATGACGGCCGATTTTTTCTCTATCAGAATATATAAAACTTCAATTTTGAAAATAAATGGAGCTGCCTGGTTATTCAGCCGACCCCTTCAATTTAAAAATGTTAATATGTCGCCTGAAAATTAAAAATTCGAGAAATAATCGTACATTCGTTGCACAGATAGTTGTCTTACATTAGTGATTGATGTTATAAATTATCCGTGCTGAACGAAAATTTGCCATGTCGCGGTCGTTCGTTTGTTAGACGGAGACAAGCACACACGGGTATCACGTTCCCTTAAATCTATGACTATACACCTCGTAATAACGTGGTGTCTCGCGTGCCTGTGCTCCTATGTTGGATACCAGAAGATATTAAAAAAAAAAAAAAACGGCAAACATATATTATAATAAATATTAAATTATAAAATTCTATAAGGTCACATAATTGCGTAACACGCACAGGTACACGACTTTGGTCTACCACAACAATAAATAATATTGTCATTATCTCGCGGTGTTTTAATACCGTACCAATGATTTTATTATGTACCGTTTCTTAAAAAGTCATGTTACTGATTTCCAGTCGTGAGAGTGTGAACATAAATTGTGTTTATACCGACGCTATAAGAAAATTAAATACCTTGTATTACCGCATGTGCTGCCTAACCCGCACTTGGATTCAACAGTCCAAATAATAAACAAATCTAAATAATTAGGTACTTAAAACGTAAAATAATCTTGGTGGATTATACATTTTTTCACCACAGGATAGATTGTTTTGGCAGCTCCCATCACTCAACTACTCTGTATAAAATATTTAAACTATAATTGGACGGATCGCCGAACTTTTGACTGCAGTTGTGACTTATATGGATACTTTTTTTAAAAACATTTTTCAAAAAAACTGTTGTCGGTAACTTATAATAAACAATAGAAACATTATAGATTTATAAATTTACACAAATATATTATTATAACCTTAAACTAGATATATTTCTTTCTGGTTTTTGTTGAAGCAAACTTGTCCATCACTTCATCAAAATTGATGGTTTTAACGAATTCTACTTCAATATGTATGTATGACGTAATCATTTAGCAACTCTTCATTTAGTTTAGATCTTAAGTAGTTTTTAATATGTTTATTGCAGAAAATTACCTTTCCGCAGGACAGTTACTTGCTGGAATATTTAAGAACATTCTGGTAGCAATTTTTATGTATAGAAAAACCTTTTGAACTTTATTTTCAATAATAAATTGTTGCATATGAAGTATAATTATGGGTTCAGTTTTTGATTTTGATATAAATAGCCTTTAAAATGGAAACATTAATTTTTAAATGAATTAGGTAGGTCATTTGTATACTTTTTTTTTTTTAAAAAAAATAGCAAAAAATACATAGATATTTTGCATGAGACAAAAAAATGCTGTGGATTCTTGAGAATAATCAGCAGCACACTTACTAATCAGGTTTAGGAAGTAAGCTGAGCAAGATGCGTATTCTGCCAGTGAAAAAACTTGCTTGCAAATTAATATATTTGCTTGACATGTTAGAGGCATTGTCATATGATTGTCCCCTACAATTTTTAATATTTAACCTATATTCATGTATTGCTTTAAGTACTATGTCAGCAATTTATTTGCTCTTGTGTCTTATGTGTCCACACACATAAATATTTCTAATGCGGTCTGTGATTCATGCTATCTACGCATGTACACATACTATCTTTTGATTAGCTTATTAATTATTTTGCTACCGCCTACCAGTCAACGTTAGACTACACTTTTTTTCATTAGCTACAGACTACAGTCTACACTTAAACTTTATTGAAAATAATCAACTCATTAATCTATTAGACGCTATTTCAGACCTGTCACTCTAGATCAGCTGCCCCAGGTTGCCCCGTATATAGATCTACCAATGCGTTTAGGTCGAAATTAGAGTTAATTCAGACAATTAGAGATAACAACATTTTAAAGAGGAGATTATTTTCGAAGGCCAATATCCGTTGCTGTTTTTTTTTAAGATATTGTTAAATGAATAATATGCGCAACAGTTATGCACAAAATAATAAATTAATAATCAAACGAAAAATGTGCTGAAATATAATTATTATCGTTTAAAAACCTATTTGAAATTAAACATGGTGCCTGTTAACGTTATTAAATGGATAAATATACATAAAAATGGAAACATTTTTATAATAAAATATAAATAACGGAACTCAGCTAAATAAATGGTAAATGTTTGTGGCGCATTTTGCGCATTCGACACACAACGTAAATTTTTACCAATATGGACGCAACTTTAGATTTATCGAACACATTGATAATTTTACATACTTCACATCATTGATTAAGTTACACAACTAGTACCACTACCAGCTGGTCACTCGTGTATATTTGTATTATATTAGTTATGTTTGTTATTTTCTTTTTGTAGTCAAGATAACCCAGAAGATTGTTGAAAATTTAGAAACACATTTCAATTAAAGTACTACTGGACGAATACCTGCATCTTTTATGATACGATTTGAATAATTTAGAACATTTTTACTAACTGAAAAAAAATTTTCCTGCTGGAAAAATATCTTACAAGTGTTGTAAAACAATATCACTGAGCTCAGAAGCTAAAATATTATTTCAATTAACACAACGAAGACAATCGTATTTTAATACACTACCAACGCAATTACAAATTTGTACATTCTATAAATAGATAATAATTAATATGTAATACGTCATTTACCTGGTTAAATTAACAAATAAATTATTAGATGTGAGTATTATTGTTTGTCCTGTTGTTTTCTGTTTGTTAATTGTTGCAATACGTTATGAAACAATGTATTATTATCGAATTCATATAATAGTGTATAATGTATATATTATAGTACCATAGTTATTAATATTTAAGTATATTATTACTAAGGTTTCCGTTATTAAGTTAACGAGTGTTAAATCTGTAAATAATATTCATTAAGAACCACCGAAATTAAAAATAACTTTCCCTTTCAAAATATAAATGCTTATTTGTACATTATACATTGTGACATTATTTATATTATTTACGACCCAGAATACAAATATATATTGATATGGGATCCTACTAGTTCTTCCGGATTTGTGATTATACGTGTGATAACAAAAACAAAACAAAAATGACCAACTCTTATAAATCAAAATCAGTTTCAGACAAATTGTAAAATTTTTTGCTAAAACACGAAAAATAAATAGTTAAAAATCACGAATTTTTAAATGCAATTTATTATATTAGTAGTTTTTTTATTTTTTTTTATTATTATTATTATTTTTTTTTTTTCGTAAAATTTTAACTTATTGGACATTATTTGAACAATTTCATTTATTTTTAATTTTTAACATGGCGTTTAAATATATTGACTTTTATAAACGTCAATTAAATAATTTTTTTAAATTTTGAACACAACTTACTCATTGTTGGGTCCAGGGGATGACGATCGCCAGGGGGGAGAGTTAACAGGAGGTTCACTCTCCAATATACTTTTAGCTGCGCTATACTCTTAACTTAATTCATCGTTAAGCTCGTTATAAATGCGTGTCTCATATGCATTTTAAAAATCGCTCCCCTCGTTATTTTGTCCTGGACCCACTCCTGGATTTACTTATGTATAATAATTTTTATAAATATTATTTAACATTTGTTTATAATTTTATACGTAATAACTGACAACAATAATAATAATAATAATAGTACAAAGTGTCCGAATTTTAATACTTTTATATTTGTTATTGGTTTATATATTCACCGCAAATAACATTGATGTATACAATGTATTTAACTAGGTATGTGTATTATCTATGTATACCTGCTGTATGTATAAGCATGTTTCATGGAGTGCAATGAAGAAACCTATTCGTGGTGCACCTTAGGCAACTGTAATATCCGAACCCATAACACAGACTAATTCTTCAATTC